TACGATAAAGAGATGCTAGCTATTATACGCTCTTTTAATAACTTCCGCGTCGAACTCGCCGGCTCTTTTTATTAAGTTTAAGTAATCACCGATTACAAGGCTTTAAAGTACTTTATAACTTTTAAGACTTTTAACGCTCGTTAAGCACGCTAAGCAAAGTTCTTTTCCGATTACAACTTTATTATTACGTATAAACTAAGTAAAGACAACCTTTTAGCTGACGCGCTAATACGTCGTATCGAAAAGCTTTTTTTTTAAAACAGCTTTAAGCGCATTTAGCGCTTGTAAACGCTGCTTTGCGCCGATAACGTTAACTTACGACTCTTAACCGAAGAGCTACGCTAACTTACGCTTTTAAAAACCGCCGTTATTATTAAAGAGATCGCGGAGCTTTTATTAATATTTCGAGTTATTAATTAAGTCTTAAAAGCTAATCGGACCGCTTTTAGTTTTATAGCACTTCGAATTCAAGCTTTTAAAGCTAAGTCTTTACTTATGAACTACGGTTTATAAGCTAAACTTATTATAAAAAGCGACTTGTTGCTTTATAACGGCCGTTTATTAGTTTTCGACGTTTAAAACTTGCGCTCGTTATTCGTTCGAGAAGTTTACGACTAAGTATTTACGGCACACTTTAGCTTTCGCAAAACTTATAAGCTCTTTGCAGCATAATATTATTAGCACGGTATAGTCAGATTCGTTAACTAGTATTGCCGCAATTGCTACGCTTGCAAACGAGCTTTAATGCTTCGCGATAAAAAACTTAGTTTGCTTTAACTTTTCCCGATCTTCTCGCGCTTTTAAAAGCACGTTATTATAGATTTTTATAGCTTTAATAAAAACAAATATAGCTACGATAACGTTTTTATAATAATTGACCGCTTTTTTAAGCAAGCAATCTCGATCTTTTATTATAAGTTTATCAACGCTAAAAGCTTCGTTAAGCTTTATATTTATTATATTTATAAATATTTTAAAGCTCTTTTAATATTGACTTTTGATAAAGGACCTTAATACTAGTCCGAGTTCTAGAAAGAATTTAATAAGATCCTCGGCACTAAACTAACTTTTAGCACCGCCGCACACTTTAAGATTAACGATTAAACCGAAATCTATAACTAGTACTTGTAAAAGCGCCTTCGTCCTTTCGTAAGCTATTATTAAAACGATTAAAGTAAGTTTTTTTTTATAATAGATTTCGCTTAATTAACGCTCTTTCACGACTTTTTCGGCGATCTTTCTTTTTTTAAAGTAATTCACGGCTACGCTTTTCGGACCACTTAAAATTAAAGCTTAAAACGATTTAACGACCAAACTCTTTTTCGCAAGCTCAATTAAAACGAAGCTCGCGCTTACGCTAACCGCTACTTCGAAGCTTAGAACCTCGCTAAAGAGCACTTTTAGCGCGCTTAAGACCGCATAGCTAAATAAGCTAATAAATCAAAGCGCTCGATTGACTTCGACGTTAATAATAAAGTTTAGTTAAATATGCGCTCGTTTTTTACTTTTCGATCGTTAAAAAAGCTCGATAACCCGACGAACGGACCGTTCGAAGTTATCGATAACATTTATAATAGCTTTAAACTTAAGCTTTTCGAGTCAATAAAAGTTTATTTAGTCTTTTACTTCGGACGGCTACGAAAAGCTTTTAATAACTTTACTTTCGGGCAAATCATTTTTAAACCTGACCCGATTAATATCACTAGCGAACTTAAGTACGAAATAAAAAATATTTTAGCCGTACGCTAAATTAAGAAGCACTTTAAGTACCGCGCTTTTTAGCTCGGCCGCGATATTGACTTTACTTAATACTCCGCTTTCGACTTTATATACGCTTTTTTTAAAGTACGTGATTTTTACTTAAAATACAAAGAGCTCTTCGGCTTTCTCGCGAAGCTTTTCGAATAAATTAAAGCTTATTCGAACGGTATTGATAACTACGATCATTTAAGTAATGATAAAGCAATAGATAAACGCTCGAGGACGAGCTTTTTTCGGACGGGAAAGTAGTGTGACGATACGCTAAGTCTTTTAAACGCACTTTATATGCGCTAAGCTACTTCTTTCTTTTTTTCTTTCGTATTCTTCGTATTTTCTTATTCTTCGCTTTTGACTTATAAATTATAGTTCACGAGTCTTTAGCGCTCTTACTTTCGTATATATAGACCTTAGCTACTTTCGACCTTTATACTCGGTAATTGTTGATTCTAAGTTATTACTTTAAGATTCTCTTGAGCTTTTATATGAATCTTCGCGTTCCCGTAAGTTCCTTCAGGTAATCGCTTAAGGTCGTCACAGACGCCGTTTAGTTTATCGGCAATAGTTTTGCGAGCGGCGTAGCTATCGAGACGAGCTAAAAGTGCGGCGGAAAGTATTTAAATTAAGACTCGCTTGTTTTAACGTGTTTTAAGTTGTTCGCTAAAAGACTTGCGAGTAGCTTAAGAGCTCGTAGGTTTGCGAGTCTTTATAAGTCTTATTCTTATAACGAAAGAAGATCGAGACAGCTTAGCGATTACCGATTAAGCGGCAGCTTTTAAGTTTTTTAAAGTCTTTAAAGGCCTCGCGGAATCTGCTTATAAGATAGACTTAAAAGAGGCCGTTTGCTCGCTGCTATAAAGAAAGGTCGAAGGAAAAGAGAGAATAGCTGCTTCGGTAATTGCGTATAAATAAAAACGCATAAACGTAAAGAGACTTTTAAAAAACTCTTACGCATAATATCGAGATTCGAAGTTAAGTTGGTCGTTTACAATTTAATTCGAAGCGGAAGCGTATTGCTATTAAACTCGTCGTTTAATAGCAGCCGCGCGGTCGATATCGTCGAAGTAGCTCTCGATAGCTTTCGTCGCCGTGTTAATAATCAATGCTTTTCGTTTTAATACGAAAAGAAAAAGCTGCAAATTGATAGCAGCGTTCCTTTTTCTCTTCTTAAAGTGCTAAATAAAGTTGGACGGCGATACAGCGTCTTAAGGCCGTGTATAATCGGCGTTATTAGTATTATTATTATCCGCGGAAGACTAAGATAAAGTGACGAGAACTATTTCTCGAGCTATACGGCGAGCGCAACGAGCTATTGATTTAATTCTAACGGATTTTTAAAGAAACCGTATCTTAAAAATCGAATGCAATAAAAATCAAGTCGTTGTGAGCAAGTTGAAAATTTCGTATTGAATAATTAAGATGCAGTATATACACGAAAGTAAAGAGCGCTAAGGACGCATAAACTACAGTTTACGGATGAAAACAAGAGAACGAGAGAAGAAAGAGAATATAAAAAAGAAAGGAAGGAACTAGCTTGGCTGTGACGACCTTAAGCGATTACCTGAAGGAACTCACGGGAGCGCAAGGGTTCACATAAAAGCTTAAGAGAATCTTAAAGTAATGACTTAGAATCAACAACTACCGAGTATAAAGGTCGAAGGTAGCTGAGGTTTATATACACGAAGGTAGAAGCGCTAAGGACTCGTGAACCATGGTTTATAAGTTAAAAGCGGGGAATGAGAGAATACGAAGAATACGGAGGAAAAAAGGAGGGAAGTAGCTTGGCGTATGTAAGGTGCGTCCAGGAGACCTGGCGTGTCGTCACATTGGCCTACGTAAGAATAATGCCCAGGAGACCTGGCGTATTATCATACTTCGGACTTATATTATAGTAGCTAGCCTCTTTCCTTCCTCGTCTTACTTTTATATTACATAGCGTATAGATTAAAAATGTAATGGAGCTGGCGGTTTGTATTTGTTTTGTCTATGTATCTAGTACTATTATCAGGTATCCTTGGCACGTGGATGGGTTACAACTTACGTGTAAGGCAGTATATAAACAAGTGGTTGATTCCTTAAGCTATTATTATTAATATATATACATATATACAAAACACATTCGAGTATCATTCGAACGTCCTCCGTTTCCTCCTCTTTTTATTTGCGATTCTATCATGATCATATTTATATATATCTCTTGATTCGCCGTCAGATATATATCGGAGCTTTTCCCTTCCATAATAGCTATTATAATACTATCTCTTCTCAGCCGTCATAGAAGTGTGGCACGTCCACCCGCGGTCCCTTTAAAGGACCGCCATAACCTTCCTTAGCGATATAACAATCATAATTAATATAATGTCACCAACGGTGACCCAAGATAAATTCCAGGGGTTGTGATGGTAGTTAGTTATCCAATCACGTAAGACTATTTTATACCGATCTAATAAGATTTCTGAGCAATGCTAAAAGAAATGTCGGCAAGTAATTCTAGATTTTAGAAAGGGTCGGCCTAAATTAAATATGTCCTACAGCTAAGCCTAATTCAGCCACCGCCATCAATTCTGCCGTACGTAACGCACGTCGCTATAACGACCTTAAGCGATTACCTGAAGGAACTCACGGGAGCGCGGGGTTCACATAAGAGCTTAGGAGGATCTTAAAGTAATGACTTAGAATCAACAACTACCGATTGTAAAGATCGAAGGTAGCTAAAGTTTATATACACGAAGGTAAGAGCGCTAAGGACTCGTGAACCATGGTTTATAAATCAAAAAAAGGGAATGAAAGAATACAAAGAATACGAAGGAAAAAGGAAGGAGGTAGCTTGGCGCATATAAGGATACGTCCAGGAGACCTGGCGTGTCGTTACAGTCGCTGCCTTAAATATAAGTAATTCGCAAAAGGGTCTGAGGTTTTCTTAGTAAAAAGGGGGGTTTAAAGGGGTCCCCCCTTATATTATATTATTAAGTATAAGTAATTCGCAAAGGGGTCTGAGGTTTCCTTAGTAAAAAGGAGGGTTTAAGAGGGTCCTTCCTTTATAATAAACTATCAAAATATAAGTAATTCGCAAAATGGTCTTGGGTCTCCCCGGTAAAAAAAAAGGTTTTAAAGGGTCTTTTTTTATAATAAAATATTAAATCATTTCTCGCGTAATAATACATCTATATTTATTTCATTTTTATAATTATTTATTTTATAATTTCGATTTGAATATATTGAGATTATTATAAATCGAGTGACTAGCCCGTTGGTGACACTACAAAGAACTTGGTCCTTTGCTTTGGTAATCTAATTGATTAGTCAATACAATCAATACCTGTATTACCAATACCTTTACTATATTATATTATACCGCCATCATATTATAGAAGTATGGATAGATAACACTTTGTTCGAGTCGAGCAAGCATCGTTTGTTTTGATTCAAGAGCCAAAGGGATGTATCATACTATACTAAGGTATATCTATAATAATCCCGTCCTTTCTTTCTTTATCATACACCAACGCTCGATTCTCCCCTTGCATACCGTCCCTTATGAAGAAAAGGCCGCTCTTATATTGAGAAGCCTCTAGTATATACAATGTAAACAGAAAAAGAAACTCGCGGAAAGAAAGGCATTGACTAATAAGAACCCTTTCTCTCCCACCTTCAGCTACCGGTTTACATGCACATCGAAAAGTACGGGTGGATGGGAACGCACTTGTACGGCGTCGGGCACGTCGTAGAGCCTGTGAACCCCGGTCCGCCGCACTGCTGCCACATCGAACCATCGCCACCGCCGAATCCCCCGCCTGTTTTCTCGCCGGTTTTCCCGCCTTGACCATATCCTTGGCCAAATCCTCCGCCGAGTCCTCCGCCGGTTTTCTCGCCGGTTTTCCCGCCTGTTTTCTCGCCGGTTTTCCCGCCTGTTTTCTCGCCGGTTTCCCCGCCGGTCAACCCGCCGGTATACCCGCCTGTTTTGTCCCCGGTTGACCCGCCGTTTAACCCGCCTGTTTTCTCGCCGGGGTTTTCTGGCGTTCCGCCAGTAAGTTCTTGTGGCGGCGCAGTAGGATTATCTGTGGATTTATACTGTGGCGGGATATTAGGATCCTGTGGCTGAGTAGTAGGGTTCTCTGTCGTCGAAGTTGGACTATTTTTTTCTTGCGTCTTATTATCAGTAGCCTGTAGGTCGGGGTAGCGTTCAGCTTTGATATGTCTCCAGAAGTCGCGCATCATCCATATATCAAACTCGGTGACTTCTTGCGTGCTACCTGCCAACATGATGAAAGCTTTCTGCCCGGTCGGCTGGAAGTCGTAGAAGTCGTCCAGGCCCATGGTGTGGCCGAATTCGTGGAGCCAGATGTGTGGCGAGGGTGTCTTGAGGAAGTAATCGGCCCCGACGCGCTGGCCCCAGTCGCCGCCGGCACCACCGATACCATTGTCCATCTCTGAGGTAAGCCAGAGAGACATGTCGTAGCGCGCTTCGGGTCCTCCGGCGCAGGTTGGGTAGCCGGTGTCTTCTCGATTGAAGTAGCGACCGCAGCCGGGGTCACACTCGGGGGCGCCTCCCTTATCGATGTTTGTGTAAATCGTCTCAGAAGCAGCGTCTGTGAACTGGTCGGCGTTCTTAGCGGCCCAGCCGGTGATTTTGATCTAAGTGAACTTGTTAGACGCGGGGTGCTTGATTTTCCAGGGAGGGATGGAACTTACGGGGACAGAGGAGTATGGCCAGCCCATAAAGCCGGTGAGCCCATCGGTCCACTTCGCCGCGTTCCTCTGCAAAGAGCTGAGGATCTCGGCGCGCTGGTCCGCAGACAAGGTGGCGTCCGAGTCCCAGCGAACGCAGTAGTTGATCGTGCTATACAGCAAACAGTCCGTTAGCGAGGCCCATCCCAAACATGGTAGTTGCTATAGGCAACGAAACGGGACCACCTACCCTTTAGCGGCAATTATAATATCGAAGCCGTAGTTCTTGAAACCCAGCAGATCGCCGTTGTTGTACGTCTTCATTTGATGATCCCAGACTTCCTGCAGCGCCGAGGCCATCTCAGCAGGAGGATCCCATTCGCTCTGGCGCTTCTTAATATCATGCGCAGATTCGTCGCGGGGATCGGAGGCGCGAGCCAGTGTTTGCAGTCCTGCTGCAAGGAGAACGATAGAAAGCTTCATCGTGGAAGGATGATAAAGGAGCAAACAAAGAAAAAAAAAGAAAAACGAAGAGTAAATGTAGACTTGTCGATCAAAACCAGTATACAGAGAGAATGGAAACCGGTCCTGGGACTGGTACAAATATCTGGGGAATGCGGTACATTTTGTATGGATTCGAAAGGAGCGCCAGTGAAGTGCCGACCCCGGGACGCAATCTAGCTCTTTCGTTCCCCGGCTCTTGGCCTTGGGATCCTCGCATATACTTTTCCAAGTACACTTTTCCCCATGTCCGGACTCTCCCATTGAAGATACTGTAGGTTATACCACGGTACAGGCGTAATTGTTACCGCCTTGAGGGTGCCTCAAAAGTTGAAATTTCCACTTTAAACCCCCTGATTCCCCCCCTCCTCAGGCCTCCCAAGGCCTTGTGGGTGTAACAATTACGCCTGCGACGTAGTACCGGTGGTTGCTGTAGGAGAGAGAGAGAGCCAAGCAGACGGTGACGGTGCTGTCGCGTATCTGCCGAAACGTTTGAGCAACCGACGACAGCAGGGGGGAAAGTTCTTATTTTCCGGGGCGGAGGTCCCAGCTAGATGAAGATGACGAAGAAAAGAAGCTTGGAAGGCGATGCTTGGATGAATATCCTGAGCAGGGAATCGGAAGGGGAAGAAGGCCTGAAAGACATACTAGTAGTAGTAGTACGTAGTATTACGTACATTTGATTCAATGTTCGACATGGTAAGGATGAGAGAGGGATCGAAAGTAATCGAGGAATTGTAAGTAAAAAAAATTTAGTTTTGAAAGAAGTCTTCCTTAAGGCTGTCACCTAACAAAAATGAACAGCTAGAGCTTCTCATCGCTGGTTTCTTTTCCATGATCTAGCCGTAGTTTTCTTTTCAGTGAGCCGCAAACAACCATCTCCCGATACCTCAAGGCCCGCGGAGGAGCCCTTGCTCGCTTAATCTAGCCTCGGAGCAAGCCCCTCTTATAGTTAAATAGCTAAAAAAATAAGCTTGGTACGGGTTTCGGGCGTCCGAGATATAGTAGTAGTACTACCCGTCTTTCTGTAACGCATACGTACATGTTCCGTTTCCTTCCGGGGCGGTGGAGGGAGGAGTTCGTCTGGAGATGAAAATGTTTGAGGCTGATGGCGACATCATAAGAAGAAATTCGAGGAATACGAGTTTGGTTGTGGATGCATGCTGGGATATAGCCACTGCCGAGAAAAGGGGGTTGGTTACTGTACCGGTACCGGTACCGCTGGTCTTGCCGCGCCTGGCAACAGGAAAAAAGGGTTGAATACTCTCCCCCACCTTTGAATACATGTCGAAAGTGTAATTTTGCAAGGGATCTTGTCAGCTTGTAAACCGATCAACTTACCCACGGTCTAGGCGCAGTGGTTACCCCTTGACGGTGCCTCAAAAGTCTAGTTTCCACTATAAAACCCCTGATTACCCTACCCTCAAGGGGTAGCAAGTACGCCTGGGACGTACTACGTACTACCGGTAGTACCTACTACTACAACGGTATAAGGGTTTATTCGGCTTTGAAAAGTGTGAGCCAGTTTTTAGTCTGTGCAATAGAGTTGACAAGGCTTTAAGCCATTCAGAAATCACCGCTCTACGTAGTACGTAGTACTTGTACGATTTATAAAGCTTAACTGGGTCCGACATTTTATTCATAAGGAGGGAATAGTAGATACTGCGTATCTGATCGAAGATCACCTCCGATACTTTCCCGCCAAAGTATTTTTAGATTTTAGATCAGCCGTGAAACATTATCAATCAGCTTGCGGATGGCAAACATTTGCGAATGGATCGCAAACACCTGCAGCAAGTCGGCGATCAAAGCTGCCGAGGAAGCTGGGCGAGGTACAGTCCGCTACCCCAAGCGTTCTATGTCGATCATTTACGGATCCAGCAACATTCCGAATTGAAGGCTTCTTTTTGTTTTACTCTCGCTTCTAAAAATACATATCAAAAGTATATTCTTGCAAAGGACCTTTCCAGGTTTTAAACCGATCAACTTACGTAGTACTACGTACATACTACTAGTACTGCGTCTCTGGCCTATGTATTACCCCTTGAGGCCCTTGAGGGTAGGGTAAATAGGGGGTGTATCATGGAAACTAAACTTTGAAGCACCCTCAAGCCTCAAGGGGTAATAATTACGCCTGTACCGTGGCAGTATAAGGATTCATTCAGCTTTGAAATGTATCTTTGACCCAGTATTCAGTCTGTGCAATGGAATTTATTAGGCTTTAAACTATTCAGAAATCACCACTTTACGATTAATGGAATTAAATTGGTTCCGACATTTATTTAAAAGGGGGGAGGGGGCAAGGAAGTACTACCGGTATCCCCCCCTTTACTATCCCCCTCCCTGAGCAAAAGACGAAAAGTATATTTTTACTAGGGGTTGCCAGGAGGTTGTAACCCTAACGCTTAGGAAGCAATTCCTTGAGAATTCATTATTTCTCTATATACGTAGTAATTCGTAGTAAAATCGATAACAAGCAATAATTAATGCACACAAGAACTTATAAAGTATTAGAAAATTAATATAAACGTTGTTTTGCTACAGTTGATAAGCGGTAAGCTTTACGATCAAAATATGCACTCACCAAGTGGGTCCGTCTTTTAATTAAGGGGGGATTAGTAAGACACGGTCTGTACGGAGTAAAGTGGCTCGTCCGTTCAACGAAGAAAAAAAAAAAGACTAAATCGCGCTATACTCGATGCAAAAGGTGTGCTGCTAAATTTATCCCTTTATTTCTCGTGCGATCAGCATATCTGTCCTCGTACAGTATCGAGAATCATTCCGAAAATAAAATTTTAATTTATTAAATTTTGAATGTAGCTAATTATATAGCAGTGCATAGGAAATGTTTGGCCTGCAAGATAAGTTCTTATGAAATGAGTTCTGATGTCTTAGACGAGCTACTCTATCTTGGTTATATTGTTCTAAGATTTCTAATCATTTCCTGTTTCTTTTATTCAACGGTTTCGCTCGAATATTTCATCAGCGAGTCTTTTAATTACCAATATCTAGCTTATAAGTCCAACTCATCGTCTTTAATCGAGTCGGTTGGAACATCCAATGATAATGTATTAGAGCCGTCTGAGGTATATAAGAAGCGCAATTCCTTTTTCGGGTTTGGCATTATTGCCTCGACGTTCTCCATAATAGCTTCTTCGTTTCCGATCCATATATCCTTTCGCCCGTTTTCCAATTCCCGAAGAAATTTCTTCGTAATATGCTGGAATTTATACTTTTCTTACAGCTTTCATCTGATTACTATCCGCTTCGATAATATAATACTATTTATTATTATTAGCAAGGGAACCAGCAGGTACGTTTCCTATTTTAACTTGTCAGCTCCGCGTAATTGAGTGACGATCTATAAATCAACTCATATACATTATAGCCGCGTCTTAATCGATGAACGTATTTAGCTGCGAACTTCAAATGTGCAAAATCGGATGCCTTTTCTTTTCAAAAAAAAGGCTTATAACTATGCTGGATCTATACGGCTTCATCTTATTATTCGCGTAATTAATATAAGCTTATAATCGTCGGCTCGCTTAGGTGGGCTTTCTTATATCTTCTCAGTCTTAGTCGGCGTAAGCGATTGCGGATCGGAAGCGAATGCGGATTTTTCTATTTTTCTATTAGTATTTGTATACAGAATACAATTTACAACATTACTTTATAATCTACAACCGCACAACTCTTCTCGGCTGACTCCGGTTCGGCTTTGATACTGGTCGTTATGCGACCCGCACGGCCACGCTATAAGCTGGCTACAGCAGTCTGTACTATGGAAGGGAAGAGCTCCAACATATACCAGACGTCGAAATCAAGAGATATATATGTATATATAGTCATGGTATAATCGTAAGTGAGAAGGAAGGGGAAAAGAAGACGTTCGAAAGACATTCGAATATATTTTGTATGTATGTATGTATATGTTTTATAATGATGGCTCAAGGAGGAACCAACCACTCGTTTATATATTGCCTCACACGTAATGCATCTGCGTGACAAGGGTGCCTAGAGATACTACTATATACATAGATAAAACAAATACAGACCCCCAGCTCTATTATAATACTTGCTTCACTCTCTTTTATAGATTTCTTTTAATAAGAGATTCCTTTTTATTATGATCTATCCTATCCGTAAAAGAAGGGCGTAGACGATAATAGCTTTCGCTGCAATACTTTGAATTGCCTTTTAAGGCTTACTTATATATGGCTCCTTAACTTAATACGTCGCCGTACCCTATAAGAGGTCTTAAGGCGGCAGGCTTCGCCTGCTATCCGCCCGACGTAAATAAATACAGTAATAACAACAACAACCGCACAGCTCAATTATATTTTGTAATCAATTATAAAGCTGAAAACGCATGTAAATGGTTTTATTATACCGATAGCTTGATATCTTAAATCGATAAAAAGCTTGCTGCTAAGCAGCAAGCTAAAACAAATCTTGAATTTATTGCAAAACAATAACGAATCGTCGATAAGCTTTAAAACGAAGAAAAAGATGCTGAATATCGTAAAGGAGTCGATTTACGCAAAGCTAAGCGCGAGCGTAATAGGATAATACGAAAACGCTTTGCTGCAAGCTGAATTGTTAAAGACGACGATGCAATACTTATTATAATTCTCGATTCGAAAGAGGTTTAATAAATGCAATAATCTTTTGAGCGTCAAATTTTGCGGCCTCGTAAAAAAGGTGTTCCTCGACCAACTTTCTCTTAATCTGAACCTTTTCTCGATAACGATAATTTAATAATTATAACAGATATTATTAAAGACGTTTTTTTAAATCAAGATGTTTTTCTTTTTTTTTAACATTAATATCGATAGCGATAGCTCTAATTTTAATAGTAATCGTCGGTTTCCTTAGATTTAATTTGAAAGAATTGACCGACTTGGCACCACCAAGGCGGGACAATAACGGTATACCACTTATTAAACAACAACTATTAATATAAATTAGGAAATAAAAAATCTTTGTAAGCTTAGATGACTTTGCTTTACAAACGTAAATTAAAAATATAAAAATGCATTCATTTATGGTGAATTTATATATTAAAATATAATGAAAATATATATAAAGACTATCTTAAATAATTCAAATTTACTTGTTTACTGCGAATATCTTAACAATCACAACCTTAATTTTTTAAAAAAAAACATCATATAGATCGAAAATCAATCATTTGATCTATTATATTACGAAAGGTATTAATTATTAAATCAAAGTTGGTAGTGATGCACGTATTTTCTTAATGGGTTTAAGTAAAAGTCCGACTTCCGTGTTCCTCGCTTATTCTAGGATTTACACGGCAATTCTGATATATACCCACAAGTAAAATCGAAAAATACATATCAAAGGTACCTTTTTTACTACTTTGACTTATTACAATAAAAGAATAACAATTTATAATTAAAGTTTAATTAATTGATTAATATTAAAATCAATACGATGCATCTTTTTATATAAAAATAATTACGATATAATCATTGGTTGATTTTCTACTCATTATAAAGGAGCAAATTTTACTGTCCCGTCTTGGTGGATGTCCCCGCCTTGGTTGGTGGTGCCGACTTGCTCCAGCAAGTCGATCAATCCTTTCGAATTAAAAATTTAAGGAAACCGACGATTAGTTCGATGAATCGAAAATATAGTATTGCGCTTTCGAAAAAGCGCGTCGCAAACACACCGGCATTATTCAAAAGCTACGAACGCGAGCTTTCTTAGCTTTATAACGAAAGAAACCTATATTTGTATTATACGAATCGAGGCCGCTCGTAAGGCCATACGTATTCGATAATCACCGAAAGAATACTCGACGTATAGCATTATAAATTGCTTTTAGAAGGTTTGCATAATGTTGTTGTTATTGTTGTTATTGCATAAATTAACGTCGGGCGGGTATCCAAAACGCAATGCTTGGACCTTAAGGACCTCTTATAAGGTGCGGCGACGTGCTAAGTAAAGGGATTATATATAAAGTTAAACACTTGTAAACCCTTTAAAAGCAATTCATAATGCTATAGGTCGAGTTTTCTTTATTCTTTCGACAACTGTCGAATACGTATAGCCTTACGGGCGGCCTCGATCCGTATAATATAAACATCGTTTTCTTTCGTCGTAAAACTAAGAAGGCTCGCGTTCGTAGCCCTTGAATAAAGCCGGTGTGTTTATAAAACGCTCTTTCGAAAGCGCAATACCGTGTTTTCGATCAATCGAAGTAAGCCTTTCTTATTTTATCTTTTATATACGTTCCTTTTTTATCGCAAATCCTCTTAGTCTTTTCAATCGATATGCTCGTTAAATATAAATCGTAATCGGCGTAATATTCGAAAAGAAAAAAAACAAAGGTTCGGAATCGCCGGTAAAAGAAGATCTCGTTGAAAAGACGTCGCATATCGATGATTTAATTTCGGCTTTTTGAATTCTTTATCTTTCTTTTTACCGCAAAAGAAAGAAAGAAAAAAAGCTGAAGATTCGTAAGGTGCACCTCGTACAGGTAAAGAATCGTAGCCCCCCTTTTATATAATGTTTAGCTATTGAAACGAGAGCTTTTCCTCAACGTATTTTTTACTCTCAATTAGATAATACTTTGTATATAATTCTTGCACTTAGCACGTCGCCGTACTTTAGAAGAGGTCCCTAGGGTCTAAAGCATTAGGTTTTGGATATCCGCCCGACGTTAATAGATAAAATAATAACAATAACAACAACTATTATTTTATTCCCTATCATATACATACCGGTATATATGTATAAAAAAAAAGTCTGAATTAAACCAATGAGTGGTCTTAATACGAAACACAAAACACAAAATCCGAAACACGAAATACGAGAGCGAGGCTAAAGTGCCTGAAAGGAAATAATTAGGTAAATAAGTACCTGAGGGAGTCGAGCGGATTCTTTCAAGAATCGGACACTTTTGAAATGACAGGCAGGTCTTTTTGGGAGGGGGAGGGTGGGGTGACGCAAGCGAGGAGGATAAGAGGAAGGGAAGAGAAGGGATGGATGGATGGATGGATGGATGGATGGATGGATGGATAGGGTAGGGGGATATCTTTAGGGGGTTAAGATACAAGATACGAGAGGGAAAGAAAGGATGGATGGATGGATGGATGATTGACTGAAGGGAGGGAGGCCTACCTGAGTGGGCAGATGGTGAGGATGGATGGAGACTTGGGATGAGATGGATAGGGAGAGATGTGGAACGGCAAATTGTGCCGAACGCGATTTATATACACGTACGTATAGGTATGCTGCTCACTCCTGGCTCAAGACATGCAAGGATAATGAGGGAGAGGGGGAGGGTATCACATTCAAGGTCAGACGGAAGAGGGTAAGGAAGGTTGATTGACAGATGTATACAATACCCCACCGCACCGCAGCGCGCCGTGCTGCTCTCCTATCTATCTATCGATCCCCTATGCCAAAGGACCGCCACTAGCACCAAGTATGCAACCCACGAAATAACAAACTTCTACCAGTCATACATCCATGACATCTTACAGTCCCAATCCAAACCCAGCAAAGAGACCCACAGCCGAGACGATCATGGGTAGGGCCATGACCGAGAGCGACTGGGGTCCCGTGAGCTGGCTTGCAGCCGAGGAGGAGTTTGCGTTGCTTGCAGAGCTGCCGCCATTCGAGTTGCCGTTGCTGTTGCCGTTGCCGTTGCCGTTAGAGTTGGAGGAGGAGGCCGCGCTGCCGTCCATCGCAATCATGCCGGGCGAGTAGGACTCGCCACCGTACTGGCTGGGGGTGACATCCTTGCCGATTCCGGGTCCTTTGCCCGCGCCCTTGCTGAAGTAGTCCTGGGCCATCTCGGGCATGGCGGGCAGGAGGAGGTCCTCAACGGCCCAGTCCTCGCCGAAGGCCGGGCACTCGGAGGCGGTGGGGTTGGGGTTGTAGCCACCGTCACCTTTGGGGTTGGGGGTCTTCTTGAAAGCGGTGACGAGACGGTCGAAGTCGGCGTTGGGCTCGATGGAGCCGGCGTTGTCGATGGAGACGATACCGTAGCCGTTGGGTTCGACCGAGTATTCGTAGGCGAGGCCACCAGAGTAGACTCCCGTCATGTTGCTGGAGAAGAGAGAGGCGACCTCGCCCCAATCACGGCGGTTGGTGATACATCCGAACTCGGCCATGCTGACGTTTCAAGTTAGTCAGGGTACGGGATGGAGGGATGGAGGGATGGTCCCATCACGGGATGGATCGGGGGGGAAGAGAGGAGATCAGATCCGCGGCGGAGAGACACTTACACGAGCGCAGCACCGTAGCCCTTGAGCTTCTCCACCTTCTTGTCCCAGCCAGAAATGGTAAAGGAGGAGGGATCACACCACGAGTAGTCGTTCAGGGCAAAGAAGTCGCCCCGGGTGCCGTCGGGCCCGCAGTCAAAGTAGGCGAGCTGCTGGTCGATGTTCTCGGCTACGTCGGCGGCGGCGTATCCCACGGGGATGTTGCGGTACTTGCGGGCCGACATGTAGGCCTTGATGTCGCGCTGCAGGGCCTTGATGTAGGGGGCGGCAATGGTGTTGTTGCGCTCGTTGATGACCTCGTTCCCGTTGATCATCATGAGCATGTTGCTGTAGCCCGAGAACAGGTCGATGGTGGCGAAAACACTCTGTAGGTACTTCTCGTTGTAGGAGAGGAAGAGCGTCTCGTTGTCCTGTCGGTTGAGCGAGTGTCCGGGCGTGTTCAGATCTAGGCAGAGGTAGATGCCCGCGTCGGCCAGCAACTTCATGCCCTCGGCGTGGGTAGCCGAGTTGTCGACGGTGTAGATCCGGATGGTGTTGATGCCGAGCTCCTTGAAGTGCTTGATGTCACGGGTCAAGGCTGGGATGTCGAGGAGCGGATCCGCTGGATCGGCTGCTCCTCCGGGTCTGTGGTCGGTCGGTTAGCTCTGGGGTTCCTGGTGTTCCTGGTGATGCTGTGTAACGGGGAAATCTGGGACGGGTAGAGGGGGGCATGGAGGGGATGAGGTGGAGTTGAGATGGACGTACTGATAGGCGATTCCTCGAATGTAGAATCGGTCATCTCCCGCGAAGAAAGCTGTGGCATGTCAGTTGAGTTTCTAGATTCCCTCTTCCATCTGGGGATGCCATGAGAGACGTACCATTGCCCTTCATGGTCACGATGGGAAGATCCCCCGACGAGGCCTGTCTCGGCTTGAGATCGTTCGTCACTCTCGTCGCCACATTGTCGGGTGCTCGAGCAACGAGCTCAACATCGGGTGTCACGGCGAGGGCCGTCGAGGCCACCAAGGCCCAAAGCGCCGCGACCTTCATCTCGGGAGCGTGGAAGGGGGAGGAGAGGCGAGAAGTGCAAATGCAAAGAGGGGATCGTCGGTCAGAACGACACCGGAGGCGAAGAAAAAAGGAGGCGGAAGGGAGCTAGATGCACGAATATAAAGGGGGGATTTCGAAGGCTAGATAGATTGCTGAGTTGGTAGGATGGGATGCCAGGTACTAGTCCCCCTCTAAACGAGTGAAGAGGTTGATGGATGTTGCTGGCGCTGGAGAAAATCGAAGACAAAGAAAGGAAGGACAAGTCGTAGCAAGAGCGTCGTCGAGTCGAGTGCGTTGGACGGGGGGGGGGAGAGGAAGAGGAAGAGGAAGAGGAAGAAGTTTTCACTCAAGTCGTAGAAATGGACGAGGGAGGAAGGGGAAGAAGAGGAAGAAGAAGAAAAGACGGAGAGAAGTGGCCGGCTGTCACCTGACATCACTACTACTTACGACTTCCAGGTCCGTAGCGAGAGCGAGCGGGAGAGTTGGTCTTGGTCACGAGGCTGAGCGCTTCCCGGACAGTCCAATCTTGGTAGGTGTGGGGGAGGGAGCCGGGGGGACGTGTTCTTGTTGTTCTTGGAAAAACCTTGGATGGCAGCCAAATGCGTCGCTCCGCCACGGGCCAAGCGCTTGGCTGCGCTCCGCCCGTCCAATGGGCGCGGCGGACCGTCGCCCTGAAGGTTTCCATTTCGGCCCCCCGTCGTCCCAAGTCGGGAACTCTAACTCGGCAGTCCGCCAATCCGGAGAAGCGAGATGGGTGGGAGCAGATTCAGGGGCGGCGCTGGGCGGCGCTGGGATGAAACTGACGAAACGGCCAAGGGACGGAAATAGAGTCCCCGACCAGGCCGATCAATTCTTCCGACATGCCATCCGAGTCTTCATATGCGGAAGCTGCTGTCAGAGCAGGCTCAGACATCCGTATCCCTGGCGGCATTCTATTTGCGTCCAGCTATTTGCGGTCACCTATTTGCGTCCCAGGTCGGTGGGAGTGAGTGGGCGAGTGAGTGGTAGCTAAGGAAGTCAGCCAGCCGCAATCAACACTCCAAGCGAGCACGAGCATCCTCGCTACCGTCCGTCACGGGATATCCATCCCGTGACCGTGCAACAAGAGACACACACACACACCTACAATGGACCCGGACAAGTGAATAAATAGACAGACACAGATGCACGCGCAATCAATCCATCTCCTTCGCGCTTCGGTAACCATGGCAAGTGCGTGGTCGAACAGGTTGGGTAGTTGGTGGTGGCATTATGGTGGTGGTGCTGGTGGTGCTGGTGGCGGATGAAGGAAGAATGCCAAGCTGAGAGACACAGGTCGTGATCTTGTATCCATATCCATATCCATATCCATATCCAGAACAGAGAGAGACTTACGTGGAGGGGAACATTGCCTCTATCTCTAGCCTCACAACAACACCCACCCACTCACCTCAACACCCATACATCAATCACATTACAACAGTTTCATCTTACAGACTACTCTACCATTGCAGAATCTCCGCGTGACTTTGAAGCAGACGGTGCATCCATCATACCGGTCGCGCCCGGGTCCTTCCCCAATCCCATCACTTCATCCAGGAGACCCCTCCTGATCCTCCGAGGCCGGTTTCCTCCGCCGCCTCCGTGCCGCCCACCACTGGGTCGCCAGCGTGAAGCCGGCCCAGACCACCCCCGTAGCAACAAGCTGCGCGGTAAACACCGCCAGCAGATTTCCCGCCCCGTGAACCCGTGGGCCAACGGGGTACATGTCGCTCGTCCCAGCACCCGCGCTCGCGCCAAACGTCCGGCCAATCTGTCGCATCACGTACGCTTCCACGGGCAGGGTAAGGATGCTGGCCACCATCTCGCGCAGGCCTTCGGTCGCCATGATCGGCGGAAGCATCGTCAGCCCGGTGACGCGGTAAGCGAGCCGGGGAGGGGTCGAGGGCTCGTTGGCGCTGCGGAGCTCGGCCGACCAGGTGCCGAGGGAGCTTTCGGCGCGTTCGGTGGCTTCGACGTCGAAGCTGATGAGTGTCGCTTGCGCGAGCTCCTCGTCTTCTCCACTCTCTTCCTCCTCAACGGGAGCGGCGAGGGCAGGCAGCCCCTCGAGAGCACGCAGCGTTGGCTCGTCCGAGCGGTGGTTGGGGCGCTGCTCGGGTTCGGAACAGTCTGGACTATCGTATTCCATCGTAGGAGCCGAGATGGGGAGACCGGAGAACATGCTGTCCCCGGTAGGCCGGGGGAGCGTTTTGTAGATGGGCCGGTAGATGATGCGCGAGAGGACGTGTTTGAACTGACCTTGGGCCAGGAGAAAGAGTAGTGGTGCTGCGGTCTGAAAGAGAGCGACTCCGAATTTGGCGACTGAGCCAGCAGAGAGCGAGGGGAGGGGTGGCATGGAGAGAGGAGAAGCGGATGAAAACGGAATAAAGGATAGGGGGGTCGGGATCCAGCGTGTCGCGGGAATAAGATGGAGTTGCTGGAGCACCGCGAAGAGCCGGCAGTGGAGGGTAAAGTAGGAGAATCCGACATCGCGGCTTCAGAAGTCAGCGAGAATCCAAATGCAACCCGGTACATAACCTACGCAACATTGAGACCCCATTTGATCGATTTCTCCTGATCTGTCAATGCTCCTTCCTCTTCGTCATACAAGGCATCCAGCACTGTCTCGCAGAAAAACGACATCATATCGAGGGCATGGTAGGCCCCGACAGCAGGGAGACCGGTCAGTAGCATCCTTGGAATCCCACGAACCGCTCTCTCCTGCCTGACGAGATCCAAAAGCCCCGTCTCGGCATACGGCCGATACAACTGTAGCTTATTAGCCAGCCAGCCTCTCTCGCATCACTGTTGGCGACGTTGGCGACCAGACAACTCACCAGGATTCGTCTCCTCAACCCCATAACCCCCCAGACGCCAGCAACAAGGACGGCCCTCCCGACTTCCATCAATCTCAGACCCGTGAGAGTCTCCTCGTTCTTCTCCCGCATGGATTCATGGGCCTTGAGCTGAGCGGCCAGCGCGTCCTCGACCACGCCGGTGACTTGCATGACCTCGTTTGCAGCCCGCACTTGGTCTCTTTCGTGGCGGCGAGTCTGAGGGTTACGAGGGTAGCCTTTCCTGTCGTACTGCTGAGAATTGTGGGGATCGAGAGGCCCGGTGTCTACGACTTCTTCTTCGTAGTGTCCTCGGCCCTGGGAATGTTAGTATAGGATAGCCATGTAAATATGAGGCTGGACACGGATATGTACTATGGCGAGAAGAGCCAGAGCGGTAGAATGAGGGCTATTGCTTGCTATGCTTGAGGACAACCCAGACACATACCAAAGCCATCGCAGTCAGAGAATCCTGTCGCCCCATTGTAATGACGAAGTGAAGCTCGCGGCGTTACGAGCATCTACATAGTGGGTGTACTTATTAGGATCAGGGGAAGGATTACAAACTCCCAACAGCTTGTACCGGAATGATGCATTGGAAAGTTGTCGATGGACAGAATGAATGACTGATCCTTTATATACAGGCAGAATTCTATTATTGGGAAGCGAGGGACGCTAAGATTAAGCTTATCTTCAGACCCGGGCCCGTCAACCCTCCAAAGAAAAATATTTTGATTTTTTTTTTCCCAGTCAACAACTCCAAGCACCACCAGCGACCCAGCATGGCCAATCGAACTCCCTACCAGACCACTTTCGAGCCCGAGCGGACGATTCAGCCAATCTACACTGGTGGCAGCGTCGCCTTGGATAGCGAAGGGCGCATTCTCGCAACCACCCTGGGGGAAGATGCGCTGCTCACGGATCTGACGACGGGGAAGCAGCTGGCCAAGATTGAAGGGGTATGTTGCACTCACTGGCCTGGGTCGGAATGCAATGCTTTGTGCGCATCTGTTGGAGCTTCTGCTAACGGAAACAAATGCAGGATGGCGAAGTCATATCAACCCTCACCCGTACGCTCAACCTCCCCCTCCACCCCTCCTCCCTTCCTCTGACCATCCAACAGTAACCCCGAATGCCTCCCACCTCATCGTATGTTCGCGATCCCTCTCTATGCGAATATACTCCCTGCGACCGGCTCCAGATAGTACCATCCACTACGAACTCCTCCGAACCCTCAAACCCCACACTACACCTGTCGTCGTTCTGGCTGTAGACCAAACAAGTCTCTACCTCGCAACCGGAGCCGCCGATGGAATAGTAAAAGTATGGGACATCCTCGCGGGATACATCACGCATACCTACCGAGGACCCAATGTCTTGGTGTCAGCCTTGCATTTCTTCCAGTTGGTGGCCAAGAAGGACGAAGAGACCAAACGAAAGAGGAAGAGTGGTGATGTGACCAGTGTTGGAACTGCATTTAGACTGGCGGCTGGAAGCCAAGATGGAAAGGTCCAAGTCTGGGATCTGTCGCAGCCCTCGAAACGGACTGCTGTGGTCCTGGACTCGCACGTCTCGGATGTCACCGCGCTGGACTACTCGCCCGAGGAAAATGCGCTCTTGACAGCCAGTCGAGATAAGACGCTCATGTGGTGGGACGCGAAGACTTGGAAGGTGCGCAAGGTTGTGCCTGTGCTAGAGGAAGTGGAGGCGGCGGGGTTTGTGAAAGCTGGAAAAGTGAAAGCTGGAAGACTGGCATACACTGGAGGGGTCAACGGGAATATCCGAGTGTGGGAGACGGACACTGGACGAGAAGTGACATCTCCGCAGGAGCCGGGAGGAGAGGCAGACGCCATCGTTGCGGCTATTGCGTTCAAGGACTGCATCATGTCTGTGCAATCAGACCATACTATGATCCTACACTCTACAGACTCCCTGGACGATACAATCAACACAAACACACTTCCTCCTCTAGCACAAGTGAAGCGAATTTCCGGTACTCACGACGAGATCATCGATCTGGGGTACCTGCTGCCAGATAGGTCGTTACTGGCGTTGGCAACGAATTCGGAAGAAATTAGGATCGTATCCGTAGATCCCGATGCGTCGGACTATTTCGGTGCTGATGTTGCTCAACTGCAAGGCCATGAAGATATTATCATTTGCTTGGATATCGACTGGTCAGGTCACTGGATTGCCACAGGTGCAAAAGATAATACTGCTCGGCTATGGAGGATCGACCCGGAGAATGCCTCTTTCACCTGCTACTTGACTTTTACTGGGCATGCCGAGTCTCTGGGAGCAATTGCTCTTCCACACCTGGCCCCATCATCCCCAGCCTCTAGATCTCCCCTCGACCACCCTCCACCCTTCCTCCTCACAGGGTCTCAAGACCGAACTATTAAGCGCTGGGATATTCAACCCTCTTCCCACAAAGCGCCTCGAGCCCTCTACACCCGCCTCGCCCACGATAAAGATATCAATGCAATTGATATCAACCACACCTCGCAACTCTTCGCATCCGCCTCTCAAGACAAGACCGTCAAAATCTGGTCGGTAGAGGGAGAAGTCCAAGGCATCCTTCGCGGCCACAAACGAGGTGTCTGGTCTGTCAAATTCGCTCCGAAAGATACGCCGTCCATTATTGGAGAGAGTGGGCCTGCAGCCGGAAAAGGGCTGATCCTTACAGGAAGTGGTGACAAGACTATCAAGATCTGGAGTCTTGCCGACTACAGTTGTGTGCGAACGTTCGAAGGCCATACTAACAGTGTTCTCAAAGTTGCTTGGTTGTGTCTCCCCAAAGCCGAAGCCGAAGAGCGAGGAAGGAAACATGTACAGATCGCCAGTGCGGGAGGGGACGGATTGGTGATGGTCTGGGATGCAAGCACCGGAGTGTCATCTTGCACACTCGACAACCACGAGGATCGGGTGTGGGCACTAGCAGTCAACCCTGCAACTAATATGATCGTCTCAGGTAGTGGAGACTCGACAGTTACTTTTTGGAAAGATACCACATCTTTGACTCAAGCAGCCGCACATACAGCCGCGACGCAATTCGTCGAGCAAGAACAAGAGCTGCAGAACTATATCCACGCCAAATCCTACCGGAAAGCCATCACCCTCGCCCTACAGCTCAACCACCCGGCTCGTCTCCTCTCCTTGTTCACCTCTGTCGTGACTGGCATTCACGAAGAAGGCAGTCTCAGCGGCGCTATCGGTGTCGACGAGGTCCTTTCGTCTCTCTCCGACGAGCAAATCTTTACCCTGCTCCTCCGCATCCGGGACTGGAATACCAATGCACGATCCACAGCCGTCGCGCAGCGGATCCTATACACGATTGTGAGGAGCTACCCGGTGTCGCGGCTGGCGGGACTGAAAGTGAGGGGCCAAGGCCAAGGCCAGCAGAGTTTGAAGGAGGTGCACAATGCGCTCAAGGTGTATACGGAAAAGAACCGAAAGAGGAGCGAGGACATGTGGGACGAGGCGTACCTGATGGAGTATACGCAGAGGCAGATGGACGGGTTGATGTTGCTGGAGCCTCAAGGAAGAAAGCTGGAGAAAAATAGCTTAGGGGATTCGGATCAGGACATGATTATGGTGTAGGTCGAATAATACATATATGCAGTATCTAAGCTGTCATGGGAATTTTTTTTTTTTTTTTTTTTTAAATAAGAGACTGTCGCGTTTGTGAGATGGGGGCGAGAAGCGAAGCGACGATTTGCTATTAATCTCGATTAATAGTACCTAGTATTTCAACTGACTGCATAGAGAAAAGCCTGGTCGGATTCTTGTCTGGACTTGTAGCAGGCTGATGTGGCCTCAAATATGGATTATAGGTACCGTTCAGCTGCGGCGCTGAATCTGGGTATTTAGACTTGAAAAGTTGTCAAGCGAGTCAAAGCGACTACAGTTTCAGACTATGCTGATCAATAAGCGGCTTTGAGATAAGGGGATAAAGATAAGAGAATACGTGGAATGATCCATTGCTTGTGATTGCTTGACGAGATAGATCACTGACCAGCTCCAATCCTCGAGTGCGAAAAACTCTCAAAATCAACGATATCCAGACTCTAACTCAGACCCAGATTCAGAAACAGAAGACGAAATCCATCGCACGCATTTCAAGTCGAGAACGGGGGATTTCCAGGCCAGCCAGTCGAGATATGAGGAGCCGATTCTCTGAACGCTGTGGGGTAGATATTCGCGCTTTTTGAAGATTCGCAGAAGAAATTTATGGTTGAGGTTGGAGTCCGGAGGTGCTGCTCCAGCCCGTGTTTTGGTTCTTTGCGCCTTGTTGTTGTTGTTGTTGTTGTTGTTGTTGTTTTCCTCGTCCCTCTTGCTCCATTCCATGCGTGCTACTCCATCCTATATTTTGTTGCTGTCCTCTATGTGGTTGATTTTGTTGTTGTTGTTGTTGATGATGCCCCCCTTGGCCCATCCCGTACGTGCTACTCCATCCTTGTGCTTGATGTTGTTGTCCTCCTTGCGGTTGGTGTCCCCCTGGCCCCATCCCATATGCGCTACTCCATCCCATATTTTGTTGATGTCCTCCCTGTTGTTGATGTCCTCCTTGGTAAGCTGGTCCCCCTTGGTGAGCTGGTCCCCCTTGTTGATGATGGCCCCTTTGTTGTGCTTGTGCCCCTTGTGGTTGATGTCCCGCTCGCCCCATCCCATAAGCGCTGCTCCATCCTCCATGCTGTTGTTGTCCCCCTTGTTGTGCTTGTCCCCATTGTGGTTGATGCCCCCCTTGCCCCAACCCCCCTCGCCCATACCCGCTGCTCCATCCCCCTGGCTGGTGTCCCATTCCACCTTGCCCTGTTCCCCAGGGCTGTGGCCCCATTCCGGCCGGCCTCATTCCGGCCGGCCTCATTCCGGCTGGCCCCATTCCGGCTGGCCCCATTCCGGCTGGCCCCATTCCGGCTGGCCCCATTCTGGCTCGCCCTACTCCGACTTTCCCTTCTCCGACTTTCCCTTCTGCGACTTTCCCTTCTCCGACTTTCCCAGTTTCAACCTGCATCTTATTCATCTGCCTCGTCACTTCGGTACTCTCTTCCCTCTCGCTCTCCTCCTCCTCCTCCTCCTCCTCCTCCTCCTCCTCCTCCTCCCCCTTATTCTTATCCCTATCCTCATCCTCGTCCTCATCCTCATCATCATCATACTTCGACTTCCCCAGCCAGTACGGCGGCGTATACGTCCAGAACATGCGCGACTCGTCCAAGAAATTAACACCATGCGCATTCCGCCGGTGAAAGCGGAGGTCGTTCTTAGTCCAGAAGCACGCTTTGCAAACGCTGCACTCGTGAACCGCCCGCGTCACTTCCGGGTGCATGGTCTCGAAGTGCGCGAGAAAGGTCTCGTGGACGCCGTCCTCGTCGTGAAAGGTTTCGCCACACTTGTAGCAGACTGTCTCGTTGACCATGGTGGGTTTGGGATCGGCTTGCGCTTCTGCTTGCGCTTGGGGAGTTTCGTGGCGCTGCTGCTCGAGGTCTGTCTATGCTCAATAAATGGGCTGGGTACTTGTCTCTCTGTGGATGGACTGTAGTAATAGAGCGGACCTGCTTGAAGGGAGGATATTTTGGTTTACTGGTCAGTAGATCCAGATCGAGCCTGTGAAGGGAATTGTTGTTGCGGTACGGAAAAGGATCTTAGAATGAAGTCTTCTGCTATAGCTTATATATATGTAGATTCAGAGGCTGTGATTCAAGAGATTTTGGGTTCTTGATAATGCATCGATTCACAGATTCGGGCTTAGGGAGGCAGCATAAGTTAACGTTGTGGTTCGATCGACTGGAGAGGAGATACACTGATTCACAAGTCCTATAATTTTGCACATTATCAAGCTGGCTGATTTGCTGGGCTGGTGCTTGGTGATGGATACAGTCAGGACGGTTTGCTGGGTTGGAACTTTGATGGTGGATACAGTTATGACGTTTGCTATAGCACTCCAGAGCAGGTGACGATCTGGTTATGTTATCCATTATCTGATTTTATCCAGAGTACACATGTAGAGGCTTACACCCAAAAGCATCGAAGGTCATAGTAGGTCAATACCATTTGTTTACTGTGTTCGTGAAGTTAAGCGAGACGGAGACATCGATTGCGACTCTATGCGTTGAATGCAATGGCAGGCTCCCGACTTTTGAGTAGTTGAATGACGACCATGAGCCTTGATTGATCGAGAACCGGGAAAAGAAAAAAGAAAAACTGCTCCGTAGACGATGAAGCGGAAGATGAGGTCAATTGAAACTCCAAGTGGGCTTATGAACCAGATACAGGAGACGCGATATGACTAAGAGAGTTGGTTTAATTTCTCCCAAGCCGAGGAAAATATGACCCCTAGTCCCTCACGTAGCACTAAACCGTGGCCGCTGTGCTTCCTTAGAATGCGAGTTACACGATCCATATCGGACATGCGTGCAAAGTGTCTGCCACAGACAACCTGACGGGAAACAGGGGATAGGAGTTTCTGGCAAGGAACCCAACCGCATCGAAGCAAGTAGAGTAATCGGATTACCTGCCTGAAAACAAATGGCTTACGGCTCCAATCTCACGTGGAAACTCGAGATCTGCGTACAGAATCAAAGATAACTGTTTGAGACTATCGAGATTTCGAGTTCATATAATCGGAGTTACCCCTTTTTCCTCCCGCCTCCTCGCTCAGCGGCTAGCTGATGCAGCGTAGACCCGAAGTCAGGGAAGATCCACAACACAGCGACCTAAACAGCTTGAATACTGGATCTGAAGCGCTCAATTTAGACGACGCTGAGAACACAAAACTCATTTGGTATATCGTTTGTACGTCATCCTGTTCCACAGCAGCGCCGTGACCACGACAGGCTCGCCGGACTCCGCCAGAGAAAACCGTCGTGTCGTACAACATCAACCGTTACATGCAGAATTCAGCTCGTCTCAAGCGATGCCGCCACTTCCAGCTGAGCTACATGCTTGGGAAGTGGTAAAGTGGTAAGGCGATGGAAGGGAGCGGCATTCGACGGCTTGCCTCTCTCTAAACAGTTGGCTGATTATCCTCAAGGTTGCAACGATCCTGCGGGTCCGGATCTGGGGACCTGCATTCAACATATGAGTGCGACTCTGGGATTCTTTCGCCCGACCTGAAAATACGAGCTGTGTACAGGTGGGCAAAAGCCCAGCTTCAGCACGAAAGGCGGACAATTTGGATTTTTTACACCGAGTAGCTCGTGGACTGGGAACGCCCTGGAAAGAATCGAGGAGTGGAAAAATGCATCGGAGGACGTTGGCTCTTGCATCGATTTCCAGGGGATGGTCATAATCTCCGGTATCTTTGCTTGAGCGAAATTTTGGTTCGATGTCGATTTCTATTACCACATTCACACGAGCATTGAAAAAAGAGAAGGGGGACAAGAGGATACGCCCACGCTTCAGACAGTGAAGAACTAGCAAACCATCAACGGGTTCATCTCTGAAACGCTGTATACCGCTATACCACCGCGCAAGCCAAACCTATTTGTGGCCAAAAAAAAATTGCGAGTAGATAAATATATACGTCCATCGAAACTTTCGCAAGTGCGTGAACATCAAGCACTAGCCCTAAACCCCAGACCTCAGACGAAATATTAGTAAATGGATGAGAGTGAATTGCTGTAAACATTGCGTATTTGTGTTTCGATTGATTTAATGCTCGAGTGCAAATGATAAATGCGTACGGTTTAGGACATGGCTGAAAGGCCGTCCGTCGTCTTGCGAACTTTACGTACCTGTCACAACGAGGGAGGGCATATATGAAAAAGCAAGTTACCTATCAATCCGGCACAGATATGCAGGTAACAGAAACGGTAAATATGCGAATCCAACACACAGCTTGAGAAAAAACCCCCGCATCATCACACCCGCCTCTACGTATAACCGCGGATTCGGCCTTCCCAGCATCGGCGTCGCCGTCGCCCTCTGCGCCTGGACCTCCATATCCTCGTACCAGATCCAACGAAACCCGGCTAGCGTATCATCCCTTAACTTCCCCAAGTCGAGGCCGTACGGGCCTTGAGGGTTATACTTATCTCCCCGGCCTGGCGGCTGGTCTTGACGACCTTCTGGCTCCGTGGCCGCCAGATCACGTCGTAAGCTTTGCCAGGTCTGCCACGTGTGCGCGTCGGCGAGGACCTTAAAGACACCACCTCCTGCGGGTACTCTCTCGAAGGGGCTGCGGTTGTCATCTTGAAGCGCGTCGGGAATGCCTTGCGGGACAGCGACAACATTCTCGCCGCCCTGAAGGGCTCGGCCGTTTAGTCAAGATGGCCGCACGAATGGGGATTGTGGCTCCGAATGGTATTGCTCAAAAAGCTGTCGCAAAGATAACGTGGGGCGGCCACATTGACCCGAAGAGTATTCAGTACTTTGAAGATCACGCAACTTCGACGTCCATTGGTGATGCGGTCAAGTTCACAGCCATGTCGCAAATATACGGCGAAGGTCGACCTTCCAACGAGCCATGCTACATCCGCAGTGTGAAGCCCAATTTTGGGAACCTTCAAGCGGGCGCTGGTAATAGGCTTGCATATTGAGAGCCCGTTTTCATTTATGTTTGATTGTCCCAAAAGTCCGGGAGACAGAGACATCCACCCATCATCCAACGATTCCTATCCTTTTCCCGAAACGAACCAACTGTACACCTGGCAGCTGCTGACTTTTTAGGATTGGGCTTCATCAGAACAATCATTGCTTTGAGAAATAGAATCATCTTACCACAAGCAAACTTCAGGTTCTTCAACCGAAAGATCGACTGGGCCAATGCGGGTATCAAGGATGGATGGATGGATGGATGGATAGAGAAATAAATGCAGAGAGCCATCGTGATTTTCTGAACAGATTCCACGGTCGGTCGGTGTCTCTGGATGGTGTTGGGATAGGAAGCCGGCTGGTTCCAACAGTTTGATGGGAAGAGCCTCACTTAGCCTGATGTTTTAGCGAGGTCAGCTGACTTTGAGATATTCCCCAGATCACCTGGCCTAGCATTCCTCGTGACTCTCCACTTTTTTATTCGTTTTCCTCTGATCCCACATTCTGCCATTCTCTTCTTCAACTTCGCATCTTGAATGCTCTCGCATTGTTTTGTTTCTGCTCGCGGAGGTCGACATCTACGTCTCCTCTCTCTCTCTTTCAGCTCACCACTTCGGATTCGAGCGTCTATGGTTCCCTCTCTTCAGTGATTGATCGCCCTTCTAATATATGCTTTCGGGCTCTCATTCAATAGTCTTCCCGTGAGATCTGCATGCTGTGCAACGGTCGCAACAGTCGTGCAGAATGTGTACACCCGGCCCGTCCCCGTTGAGATGGATCTCCAGTCTCCAGGGCGCGAACAGACCTCTCGATAGAGGGACAATCCAGTATCGATCTGGCAATACCCCGTTCTAGAAGCGTTTCAATCCCTTTACTGTTCTTTTCCCTCTCCCTCGGCTCGAGTGAGGAAGAAATATCACGTTTGACGTTTCGCAGGCCCTCGGACTCGGTCAAAGCCCAGCCTCGAAAGGCCTCCCAAGGCCTCCCCCAGGTCTCCGACCTCCGTCATTCGGGTCTCAGATAAGAAGAGGATTTGCTCTAACGAACATCAGGATTATCGAATTCTTCAGTGCGTGTTCTGGATTACACGACAGCATGAGACTGGGACTGGCTCTGGGACTAGGACTGTTGTCAAACGTGCAACTGGATGGGATGAGATGAACCACCGCTGTGTAGCAGCAACAGCAGTAACAGCAGCATGCTGTATTGACTGATAATAAGGGGAGGCTGGGCCCTTTGCTCTGGTCGGGCGAAAGAAGAGAAGGCAGGAAAGAGGAAGATAGAAAGAAGGAAAGAAAGAAAGAGAGGATGCGTGCAGGAGAGACTGGGTCCACCTCCACCTCCATCTCCACGTCCACGTCCACGTCCACGTCCACGTCCATCACCACAGCTGGCCTTCCGATATGTCTTTTACCGAAGAGAACATCCTCTCCGTCGCCACTATCGCCTTTTACTCGCCTACCGTGCCGCTGAGCGTGTACCTGTGCCTGCGCCATGGCTTCAGCCCAAATACGGGCTTCCTGTTCTTGATCTTCTTCTCCCTGATCCGCATCGTCGGCGGGGCATTGGACCTGGCCACCATCCACTCCCCGACGGAGCAGAAAGCCGGCGTGCTGCACACCGTCGCGCTGGTCCTGTCTTTCACGGGCCTCTCGCCGCTGTTGCTCTCGACCCTCGGCCTGCTCTACCGCGTCCGCTTCGGCATGGTCAAGATCTATCCAACGACGCTCAAGCCAGTGCACCTGGTCCTTGTCCGCGTGCCCGTCGTGGCCGCGCTGGTGCTCTGCGACGAAGGCGCTATCGACGTCGGCCTAAAATTCGCCGCCACCGGCCACCTTGAGATTCCCCTGACCTCGCGCGTCGGCGTTGTCATATTCCTCGCCGTGTCCCTCATCGCGGCCTTCGTGGCGCTATCCATGCTCAGAATACGCTCGCGCTTCGGGCCGGATGACCGCTACGTGCTGTACGCCATCACGGCCTCGCTGCCGCTCATCTGGGTCCGCCTGATCTACGGCTTCCTGGGGGCGTACATCTCGGATCCGGAGTTTGGCTTCTTGGGGGGGAACATGCTGCTGATGGGCTGCATGTCGATCTTGCCCGAGATGTTAGTGGTTATCATCTACAGCGCCCTCGGAATCCTGCTGCCGCGTCGCGCGCCGGAACCTCCCGTGGAGAAACCGAAGAAGCAGCCGAAGAAGAAGACCAAGACCGTGTGGAGGAAGCCATGGAAGGTGGTGGATGCCGAGGACTCGCCAAAGATATCCGTGGTCGAGGTCGAGGAAGAGACGGACGACACGGTGGGGGATATGGACAGGGCGAGCATCATGGGCCGGCTCGGAGACGACAAGTACGAGATTGGCAAGGAGATGTTTGTGGTGCCCGGCTCGAAGGGCACGCCTGGACGCGGCCAATATCTGGGCTCGATGCTGGTAAATCGATATCTCCCTCCGCTGTCGGGATTGGATTCCGGCGTCGAATTTGCGTTTGAGAAAGTATAATTAGTTAGTATAGCGATGAACGGTGACGACGAGTAATTTGATAACGTATAAATGTACTATACGTAGATGGATATGGATAGATAGGTATATATAGATAGAGCATACCAGACGATATGGAGTCTTGGGTTTAAAGTATTGAATCAATCATTCAATATTCTGACTTCGCAATTATCGCGTCTCAATGAAATATTGACATTACTTTCTATCTGATCCCTTTTTCGGAATTGTCCATGCAAATGGAAACCAAAGAATCATTCATTCGCATTGCATGGCACGAAGCCCCAAAGTACACGATATATAAAGATCCATGATATGCAAAGAGTCCATGCCAGCTGAGAAGAAATCCTCGTCGGACGAGAGTCTGGGCGAGCTGAAGACCTTTCGACAACGCTCGCCAACCTGGCCTCCAGATCCTGACTTGGATCGCGCACATCGATCCTAGGGAGATTCTGGGCCGGAGTCTGGTCTTCGTCGCTCCTCTGGTAGAGTCTGGTAGAGGGCATCGATATCCGAGGCGTAGAGTTTGAGCGCCGCTCCTTTCTGTAGAATCCCCTTTCCGTAGGATGGCGCACGCTCGTTGACCTCGACAGCGTACGGCCAGAGCCAGGTCTCGAGGAAGTGCACCTGATCTATGGCAAAGAGTGTCTTCGCTAGGTCATCTTGTAACTCGACGATAGCCGCCGGGGCAGAATCTCGTTTGTCCGACCACCAAGACGCCTTTCACGCCGGGATGCTGCGTCAAGGCCGCCTCGATTCCATGCAGTTTAGGAACGCATCCAATGAATTGATCCTGAATGACCACGGGACGTACGTCAGACGACGGATATAAAATAAGGGATATATCTCGGTATCTCACGCTTTGGCTGCAGTGCAGTAGCTGGCTATAGCTAAAGCCCTGGGTTGGAAGATGCCGCTTCATATCTCCTGCGCGTGCATGTCTTAACATATGGGGAAGGCAAGGTTTCACAAATAGCCCGACGGAGAGTTTCCAGTGCAAGGGGCAGCAGGAGACGAATAGGGGGTGGAATTGTTATTCATGTGGCGAGACCTCGTCCTGTTCGGCCATGGGCGGATTCAGCTCGCCTGCTTGTTCATGGATCAGTGAGTTGTTGACCGATTGTAAATATAGAGAGAGATTGAGCGCAGTTTGTTGCAAAGGATCACATATAAATTCGGACTGTACTCAACAAGGTAGAGAGCCCAATGCTCTTGACAAGTTGCAAGCAGCTGATGGATGCGAGGCAAGGAAAAAAAAAAGATGCAGATGCCTCGTAAACTTGCCGTCTCGCTAGTAATTATACACCATTGTTTACATGACTAAAAATCTGTTTGAGTCTTCCTTTATTATAAGTGCCAGGGTGAATGGAGATTATAAGCTGCAGCTGGCTGAGAAGACAGAGCCGGCATAATGAAGAAGTGCGAGAAGTATCGAGTTTTTTTAGAAGCTGTCACTCAAGTTATCAAGGCTTGGGAACATATTCAACGACAGAAATGCAATGCAAGCATTCTATCAGAGTACTCCTTATACCCACTCAAGAAAATATGGCTGGGCATGATCTAAAAGGCTAGGCTAGGATTTCGAAAATATTCGAAGTAGCTAACTGAGCCTGTCAATCGAAAGACTTGTTTACACGTGATTGACAATCTGAAGTCTCGTGACTGTTTATCAGATAAGGGCTGATTCCTGGAATTACTGCTGCTGGAAGGGCCATGTGGAAAGTTACATCGATTGATTTGGACCTGTTAGCAGATTGAGTCTGGGTTCGTATGACATCTGACTCCCTCGTCTTAGCACTGCCGACAATCTTGGATAGGGAATACTCATATGCGTATTTCCAGTTATCCGCGTCCACGTATCAGGTATTCCCTTATGATGGAAGTCTGTCTCTCCATCATTGATTTGTTCAAAAGACGACACGCAAATGACGGAGGGAGCGTCATCAATACGAGCCTCGGATGCAAACAAAGAATGCAGTTAGCCGAGCCTGATGCTCACAACCGTCCCAGCCTCCTACTGCGCCTTTGTGGTAACATAACACGAGTTCTAGCCGGTAGAAAGACTCAATTGATCAGCGGCTACCTTGTGTTTGCCAACCGAGAGAGTATATCCCACGAGTACGAGAAGTGTAGTACGAGCTTACATGAGCTATCATGATCAAGTCGCTTTGAGCCATGTGGTTTGGTGCATCGCAACTGCCAGTATAATAAGATAGGGACATAGGTACCTCGTCTAAACACAAAATAATTGACGTATTCTTGACATTCTTGAAGTTCTTAACATTCTTGACATTCTTGACCTGTTCATATATCGAACTTGCTGGCCGACTCATCATACAACTGAACTCTGATCACAAGTCATGTATCCCATTCATACCTCAGCAGCCATCGCACTGGCCCTTCTCAACAACGCTCTCGCAGCACCTCATCAAGCCCGTCAAGAGCCATCCCTCGTGCTCGCGGATACCTTCACCCTCGTCGCCAAGGCCTACGGCTCGAATCCCAATCCCTCTTCCCTCCCCAACATCAACAACTGGATTGCCCAACCCGTCCACGTCGGCGCAGGCAAAAACCTGTTCGTGCTGACCGACCCATCGACGACTTATTTAGACCTTGCTCAACCCGGTCTCTTCCGCAACGGAAGCGACTGCTGCGAAGCCGGACACCAGATGCATGTCACAGCTGGTCTCGTGGCTCCGAACGAGGCGCCGTACTCGATGGTGTTCGCGACCACACACCAGGACGGATCGAGCAATCCGGGGGCGCAGGCGGGATTTGTAGAGCTGAATATTGGCGTGGGCTCGAGTGGGATTGATCTAAGGGGCGGGCGGTTGGACGTCACCTACGCCTTTGACCGCTTCTATGCGTGTCCGGATATTGTCGTCGAAGGGAGCAGGGGCATTGCGGTTGGTGTGGTAAGCATCGCTCTCATACAATCCCACTCCTCTTCTCCAACGCTGCGCTGCGCTCTTACATCTTGAAAATGGGGTTTTGGAATTCATGCGCCTCCCACCCGAGGCTTTAGGAGTATTCGAAGCAGGGCCTCTCTCATTCCCGATACTTGCCACTATACAAGTTGGAACATACTGACTAGAGATAGACCAATAGATATGCAAGCCCGATCCCTGGGTGCTGGCCCATCGTGCTTTACGCCCAGTGCGCTGGGGACATATCGCCGGAGAATGTAGCGGCGTTCCCTGATTTCCGGCAGGCGAGCTGCTACGCGGATGCTGCTTCGGCGCCCGGTCCGACGTACCTGGGTTGAAGCATGAAGCGAAGGAGGGCTGACTGCCTGGTTCAATTGCAAGAAAATAGAATTGGATTAGAGAAATCGAATAGAGGGTTGGGCCTAGGGACACTAAGGCTTTTCATGTTTAATTCATAATGTATAATTACCCCTCTCTGATTATGGAGCGTGATTTTGGCTCTATGATCAATCCTTGTCCAGAACCGAGTGAGAGTTATCCGCCAAGTCACAGGTTGTTAAAAATTGAATCGGCGTCTAACGTAGGAGTAGGCTGGATCCGCAGGGTCATGTCTCTCAGCCCTCCCACCAAGCCAAAAGCATCTGCTTAATCCTATCGGAAGGTGTGAGATACATACCACCATAGGCTGTGCCTCTGTCCAGCCTCCTTTCTTGGCCTGCTGCGTGCCGCTCGAGCATTACCTGATGTAATAAGATATAACGATAATGATATGAATAGCCCTTTTTACTTTCGCAACCATCCCACCACACTTAGAAGCCCAGCCTCCTTTAGCATTCAGCTCTGATCCATCAACTCATATCGCCTTATGCTCAAGTCTAATCATGCTTGGCTCTCTCTTGATCGCTTTTAAAATCGATAAATGTATTAACAATACTCTGCTCGTAAGATGCTTTTAGGTAAGAGCGGAATTTTGTGAGATGACAGTAATACTGAGAGACTTTATTTTCTATTTGGTGTAAATTTGCTTAATAAGATGCATTTGGAGGCAAGAGTGGAGCATCATGAAATGATAAGTAGAACTTAACAGAGTAGGTGAGAGGATTGGAATCGAGAAATGCCGCTCTTGAATAGCTTGGACGAAACGTGATGGCGAGATACATTAGTAAACAAAAATTTAGCGAGAGGGGACGCTATGGGAGTCTGAGCTCGGACCACTAAGCCAAGACTTGCAGCCTCGCAGCTCAGCTTCAACTTTCGCGACCAAAAGAATCACGACTCAACTCGAAGAACAACGCACCCTAATTCAAGCGCATTCTCAAGACCACATTCCCAGATACGCCATGTCCAAACGAACAGCCACGGAAACCCTCGAGGATATTGCCGGCACTGATTCGCCCTCCTTGAAGAAATCCCGGGTTGGCAATTTCCACGAGCAGCACAACGGCTCCGAGCTGCCAATTCAGCAGCGATTCGAACAACATACACTCTCCGAGATCCCTCCACCGCCTCCGCCCGCGCACGACGAAGAAGAAGGAGAAGATGAAGGAGAAGATGAAGAGGAAGAGGATCTGGATAGAAGGAAAGCTCCGGTGCGACAGGAAGCGCCGATGGAGGGTTTCGACGATCTATACCTCGATACGATCAACAGAGGGGTACTGGACTTCGATTTCGAGAAGCTATGCTCCATCTCCCTGAGCAATATCAATGTCTACGCGTGCCTTGTCTGCGGCAAATACTACCAGGGGCGGGGACCGAAATCCCACGCGTATTTCCATGCGCTGGAAGTCGGGCATCATGTGTACATCAACATGCAGACGCAAAAGGTGTACGTGCTGCCTGAGGGCTACGAGGTCAAGAACAAGAGTCTGGATGACATCAAATTCGTCTCGGATCCGCGGTATTCGAAGGAGGAGGTTATGAGTTTGGATAGGCCGGGAGCGAAGGACAAGGCTTGGGCACTGGGTGGGAAGGAGTACAGTCCTGGATTCGTGGGCATGAATAATATCAAGGAGAACGACTATTTCAATGTAGTCGTGCAGGCGCTGTCTCACGTCCCTCCGCTACGTAACTACCTGCTCTTGGAGGATTTCAGCAAGGCTCCGGAACTGGTCAAGAGGCTATCGATTCTAGTGCGCAAGATTTGGAACCCGAGAGCGTTCAAGAGCCATGTCTCACCGCACGAACTGCTACAGGAAATCTCGCTAAAGAGCAACAAGAAGTTCACCCTGACGACGCAATCGGACCCGGTGGACTTCCTCTCCTGGTTCCTCAACAACCTTCATTTGGCTCTTGGGGGCAGCAAGACGAAACCCGGTAGCAGTATGGTCCAGCGCGTCTTCCAAGGAAAGCTCAAAGTCGAGTCCCAAGCCATCACCGCGAAAGCCGATGCTGGCGACCGACTGCGCTTTGAAGAAGCGGCATCTGTACAAACCGATGTCAATCGCTTCATGTTCCTGACTCTCGACCTTCCCGCGGCGCCCCTCTTCCAAGACGAGCTCGACGCAAACATCATCCCACAGGTCCCCTTGACGTCTATATTGAGCAAGTACGATGGCCGGCAAGCGCAAGAACACCTCAACATGCGCAAACGCTACCGCCTCCTGCATCCCCTCCCGCCCTTCCTCCTCTTCCACGTCAAGCGCTTCTCCAAGAACAAGTTCGTCGAGGAGCGCAACCCCACCATTGTCACCTTCGACGCGCGCAACCTCGACCTGTCGCCCTACGTGGAGCCGGATCCCAAGGTGCACGCGATGGGCGAGCCGATCTGGTACGACCTCGTGGCGAACATTGTGCACGAGGCGGTGCGGGGGAAGGAGGACGTCGAGGGGGCGGCGGGCGGCGAGGTGGGCCGGAGCTGGAAGTGCCAGCTGCTGGACAAGGCGCGGGGCGGATGGAGCGAGATGCAGGATCTGTTTGTCAAGGAGGCGCCGAAGGAGCTGTTGTACTTGGGAGAGAGCTACCTGCAGGTTTGGGAGCGGAGGAGGGACGGGAAAGGGAAAGGGAGGGTTAATGGTAAGAAGTGAGGGTCTGAGCTGGAGATGTGATACCTGATCGCTTGTAAAAAGAAGGTTTTTTCTTTTCTTTTCTTTTTCTTTTTTCTATTCTGTCAGCGGGGTTTCGAAGATCGATTGTGTTTAGAGAAGATAAGAGAGTAGGCAAGTCACGACTTTGGAGCAGTTGAGGAATGATATATGTAAATATGTATGTATATATGTAAGTATGTATGTACGTACGTACTTCAGCAGAAAAGTAAAAGTAAAAGCAAAAGTAAAAGCAAGAGTAAAACAGCAAGTCAATCAGCCAGCAGCAGCACGCACCACGCAGTAGCTGACAAGTAGGTACTCAAATCCCCATTGCCCATATACACAAACGTACATACATATACATATGCAGGTACACCTACACACATACATACATACATATATACATACGCTGGATAGGTAGGTAGGTAGGTAGGTATCAGATTATAAAATCAAAATCGATAGGCTAATCAATGCCTTGCTTGAGTATCTATGTATATTCAACCTAGAGCGTTTCTGTAGCTAGCTGCCTTTGCCTGCACCTCTTTCTACACTGGAGTAAGAGGGAGAGAGAGAAAAAAGGAGGGGGGGGGAGGGAGAGAAATAAATAAATATCATTTGGACATCATTCTGATGTTTGGAGTGGGTTTGGTTCAATTTCAATTTGGTTTGGTATGGATGTATGGATGGATGGATGGATGGAGAGAGAGGGAGGGATGGGATTGAGTAGCAGGGGATGCAGGAATGGGCGGGAATGGATATGGATTGTGGTGTTGAATTTGGGTTTGGGTTTTGGTTGCTGGATGGATGGATGGTATGCTGGATGGTATGCTGGAGAGTTGCTGGATAGTATGTACAGGTTGGTTGTGATTGCGAATGTGATTGTAGAAAGAGAAGAGGGAGGGAGACGGAGAAGACTCAGTATCTATTCTATTCTGTTCTTTTTAACAGAGTAGTAGCACCCGAGTGAGCTCTCTCAAGTGTTAATATTTTTCACTGCGTATCGTCGAAACCTTCCTTCCCTCCAATCCAACATAACATGTAAGTAATCTTCTACCATGTTCTCCCTTTCTCATTCGACTCTCTTCCCAACAATTTTAGCCTGCCCCTCCCCCTCCCCCTTCTGCTCCCCTTCCACCTCGTCCAGCGAACCATTCCCCGCAAGGATCTTAGGAATCTCAAACACGACGCCGCCGTTCTTCCCGTTCGCGCTCTGGATCCACCGGCCCATGCGGTGCTCTTTGCCGACTGCGACGACGACGCACACGCCGTCTTTACCGCGGTCACCGCGCTCGAAGAGGGAGATGTCGTTTATGATGCCGCGTATAGGGCCTGGTGGTGGCGGTGGTGGTTGGGATGGGGCAGAATCGCCTTCTGCGAGATCCGGATGGCTGGTCAAGGCGGTAGTTGTGCCGGTGCCGTTTGCGATGATGCCGGATGCTCCCAAGGTTCCCAACGACTCGATCTTCTTCTTGTCGTCGCTAACCCTCCACGCTCTGATCTCTCCGTCCCAGCTTCCTGAGAGGATCACGTCGGAGTAGGGTATTGTGGCTAGAGCGGTGATCCAGCGCGGTGTAGGCTGCGGTATGACCTCCTCCTTGGGGTGTTTTTCAGCGGATACATCTTCAGCTTTCATGGCAGGATCGACACCGTGACATAACGGGAGCACGAAAAGGGGTTTCTTCTTGTGTACTACCCAAAGTGACAGACTGCCATTGTCAGATCCCGTAACGAACATCTCTTCGTCGATCATCGCCACGCGATCAATGCTGCCTTCCTGCACCGATGGTCTACCGGGGGCTTTCGACCGTGATTTCTTCTCTCCTCCACCTCCTCTGAACACAAGCTGCGTCTCTTCGACGACTTTCCACAAGCGTGCTGTGCGGTCCCGAGCACCAACTGAGATGCATCTCTCCTGCGCCAGGGCCGAGACATCAACGACTTCATCCTGATGTCCGAATAGTGTTTCGACGTACGCGAGCTCGTTCAGACTCCAGATCTTAATTGTGCGGTCCTTACTCGCACTATACAACTGGTTCGTCCCTCTCCTGAAGGCAAGGCCGAGCACTGCGTCACGATGCTGATGGAACACTCGCAGACATGTAAGCGTAGCAGCATCCCAGACGACGATTCGCCTGTCCTTGCCGCCTGTAACTACAAATCTACCGTCCTGGCTTGCGGCCACCGTGAGAATGGTATCGACGTGGCCTTTGTAGGCGTTGTTCTTGCTCTCCTTCCTGTTACCCTTGACGTGGGCGATCTGCTCTGGTACACGCTTCGGCGGCGGTTTGGCCTTCTTGCTTGCTTTTTTCCCAGCTTTCGGAAGCCATTGATGCTTTGGTAGTTCTTGGATCTTCCATTTCGTGAGGCCCATATCCTTGCCAACGGTATACGCCCATGGGAGACGTGTCGCTACGCTGGTCACCGTCTGTGTGTTCCACTTGAACCAGCTGTGACCTGCGCCTGAAAAGTCGAGTTCGGAGGAGAGCGAGTCGCGGTACATGCGCCCTTTACTCTCGGCTACATCCTCAATCAGGCGTTCCGCAATCAAGTCCCGGTCGATTTCCTCGGCGTCGAATTCTTCCGGGTTCGCAGCTTCCACCTCTCCACGGATATTCTCGAGATATCTTTCGGCAAGCCTCAATCGTCTCTCGGCAGCCGTCTCTTCCTCCTCTCCTCCCTCGCCTTCATCGCTACTCCCGCTGGTATCTGGCATATCTTCATCTTGGTCCCTAGCTTCGCCGTGATCGTCATCACTGCCGGAAATCGATTCATCTCGCTGTGGTCTCCGTGCGGGCGCTGGTTTGGACTTAGATTTGGCGGACGATGCGAGTCGTTTCTTGGGAGGCGCCGTGAGAGCGTTGTCGGGACGCTTGCGCTTCTTTGCAGAGGGGAGCGTGAAGAAGGAGGACATATTGTGGTGGGCGATCGAGGGTTGGGGTTCGAGGTTTTGGGGCTGAATTGTAGCTTGGGTTTGTGAGGTGGAAATAATTTTTGGAGGGCCGCTTTTTTCTGCCAGGCTGAGAAGGAAGGCGGTGAGATCTCACTGGGGATGGTGTGGTTTGAAGCACGTGAGGACTGTGGAGAATATCACTTTTATGTGGAAGTTGGATATATATGACTAGGTATCAGGTAATCGACGTGAAAGAAAATACCACATTGTTAATTCTTCTCCAATATAGTTGTACGTTGTGGTAATACTGGTTCCCTGCTCTGACCAAGCCTGTTGCTGGCTAATCCTACCCATGTCTTTACTCTACACTGTTCGCGAGCGAGGCAGAGCTCCACGCGTAGAACAGGAGCCTCGCCTACAGCTACAGCAGAGAGAGAGAGCTCCAGCTAACATCCACAACCTCAACATCAACCTCAATCCAATCCAACAACACCACGACCCGCAATCACTATGTAAACAGCTCCTACTAGCTTCTTCTGAATCTGCTAACGTACCTCTAGGGAGGTCTTACTTGGAATCACCGGCAAGGACTTCACCTTGATCGCCTGCAGCAAGGCCGCCATGCGAGGAGCGACTGTCCTGAAAGCCAGCGACGACAAGACGCGAGAGCTGAATAAACACACATTGATGGCCTTCAGCGGAGAAGCTGGAGATACCAGTATGCCTCGCCTCTTCTCACTTTCGTCGAGGAAAAGAAAAAAAAACACAAGCTAATCCCCCTCCCAGTCCAATTCGCAGAATACATCCAAGCCAATGCCCAGCTCTACAGCATGCGCAACTCCACCTCTCTTACCCCGACAGCCCTCGCACACTTCGTCCGCGGCGAGCTGGCTTCCTCTCTTCGGTCCCGTAAACCCTACAACGTCAACCTGCTGCTCGGTGGCGTCGACCCGCTCACCAATCGCCCTTCGCTCTACTGGCTCGACTACCTAGCTTCGCTGGCTCCGCTGCCCTACGCTGCCCACGGATACGCCCAGTACTACTGCTTGAGTATACTTGATAAGCATCACCATCCGGATATCGGGTACGAGGAGGGGATCAAGCTGTTGAGGTTATGCACGGATGAGCTGAAGAGGCGGCTGCCGATCGATTTCAAGGGCATGATGGTCAAGGTTGTGACGAAGGATGGAGTGAGGGAGGTGGATTATGACGACGAGGCGAGGATCGCTTGTCCTTAGGAAGGGGTGGTTGGGGAATTGATGAGTGGCTGGGTCGGAAGTAAACTGGCTGGCTGTATAATAGCGGATCTGAGGGCATCAATGGATTGGCGAATGTGGTTGCTTTGACAAAGGCGCTTCGGGTAACGTGCAGAAGAGCAACTATGCTGGATAAGTTGTGCTGTGTATTGCGTCTCTCCATGGAAGAAGTTCTCCCCTCGATCCCTAAAGAGGAGAAGACCACCTGACGCCAGTGTCAACAACCACTCCTATTTCAACACTTGAAAGTGTGAGGGTTTCCTTCATGAAGAGAGCTTCTTTCTCAGTCTCGGATTCCGAGTGCTAGGAACGCAACCTCGTCGGATGTACCATGATGGATGAAAAACATACGTCCAAATGGACGACGGACGGCGGGGCGGGAGGATATAAAGAGGTACCGAATATACGTCATGGGCTGTGGAGCTCTGTTCCTGGAGATTCCTTCTGGAACACCCGAATGACGAGCCAGAGTCTACTTATTCTCTAGACGATCGTTGGGGGTAGTAATAGCGATCTCTTAGTAGCATACCTAAATGATGCGTATTGCCACGTGACTGTATTGACCCCCATGCCTCCCGCATTTCCGATATTTCCGATATTTCCGATATTTCAGATAGGTACCTTACTTGGCTTGTTGCAGTTTGTCGGTCTTGGAAAAGTGCATACGTATCTCTCTATCAATGTCAATGTCAACGTCAACAGTAAATAGGCAAAAGATATAAAAGAGAAAAGGAGTCACTTGATTAATGGGTAGAACGAAGCCTAAAGAAGCGAAGCGTTGCAGAGGAACGAACATAGCGGCTCTACCCCGTAACTACTTAAAAGCCCCCTTTGCTCGGGACGATCCCAACCTAATACCGGTTATATAGGGGCTATCGGATTACCACCGATCGGAGTAGCTCTGACCGTCAACTTGTCAACTTTCACCGACGGACCTACGACGAAGTACAGGAAGGGGTCAAGTCACATGTCGTCTGCTTTAGCGCGGAGCTAAGCAATCTTAGCTCGGCGCCTCAGCTACAAACAAAATTTTGCCTCCTGCTCCAACGTTCATGATCTTCCAACCTTCCAACCTTCCAACCCTTCAACCCTTCAACCCTCTCCCTCTCACCTACATTACAACCTCAAGATCCTTCCTCTCCCTCTCTCCTTTTCCTTCTTAGATTCTTGCGAGAGTCTATACACGGAATCCTAATTTCCGATCCTTTTTACGCGTTGTCTTTCCCCGATTCTCACGGCCTCGTTCTCTGCAACAAAATCGTTTCGATCGTGTTTCGTCAAATCCAACACCAAGTCAACTCAATCCAAGGTCTCTGACCCCTTTTTCTACTCCAAACCAAAGCAGCAGCCTACATCCTACAAGGACACAGCTTCCTTCGAAACCTCAAGATGGCAGAACAACTGAACATGAGCGGATTGAACATCAACTCGGGTGATGCTCGCGGTGCCAGCTCGTACATCCCTCCCCACATGCGTGGAAAGGTTGGCGGTCCTGGTCCTGGTGGCCCTCCTGCCGGTGGTCCTCCCATTAACCCTGGTATTAATGGCAGCGCTTGGGCTGGTCCAAGTGGGTAAGTCACATTCTTGTCTACTCACGTCTACACCTATGGCTCATGTGCTAATACTCTCCCTATAGCAGAGGCGGTCCTCCCCCCGGTGGAAACTGGGCTGGGGCTCCCGAGTTCACTCCTGGTGCTGGAGGCCCTCCCCCAGCTGGACGTGGCGGCGGTGGATGGGACAACTACTCTGAGCCAAAGCACTTCAACCGAAATGGATACGGAAACCCAGGCGCTGGTGGTGCGTCGGGCGGTGGCGGCTCTGCTCCTCCTCGTGGCGGCGGTGACGGACAATGGCGCGACGGAAAGCACATTGCTGGACCCGTGAACCTCCGTCTCGAGCGTGAGCTTTTTGGTATTGCAGATGACCCTTCCAAGCAACAGACCGGTATCAACTTTGAGAAGTACGATGACATCCCAGTCGAGGCTTCTGGTTCCGATGTCCCAGAGCCTGTCTTGAGATTTACCAACCCTCCTCTCGACGACCATCTGATTCGGAACATCGAGTTGGCTCATTACAAGGTCCCGACCCCAGTCCAGAAGTACTCGATCCCTATCGTCATGGGTGGTCGTGACCTCATGGCTTGCGCCCAGACCGGTTCAGGAAAGACTGGTGGATTCTTGTTCCCAATCTTGTCCCAAGCCTTTCTTACAGGTCCTTCAGCAGTTCCTGCTGGAGCCAGCAACAACTTCCGCCAACGCAAGGCCTACCCCACCTCCTTGATCCTGGCCCCTACCCGTGAGCTTGTCTCCCAGATCTTCGACGAGTCTCGCAAGTTCGCTTACCGTTCCTGGGTTCGTCCTTGCGTTGTGTACGGTGGTGCCGATATTGGATCCCAACTTCGTGCCATGGAGCGTGAGTACCTCCTTTCTTTCCTTCCCCTTCAATCATTACAGCGTTGCGTTTCTTCTATGAAGTGGTGGGCTCTTGCCGGATCTGTCGCCCAGGGTTCCTACTAGAGTCTAGGAGGAACAATTCGGGCTCACAGTGCTGGATGTTCTTTACTTCAGTAGCAAGTGCTACTTCAGTTCCTTCCGACAATCCACGATGATTCCTCTTCATCTCCATACATCATCACGCAGCATCTTTCTCTCTGTCATGGCGATTCTTTCTTTTTGTCACTTCATCATGATCATGTTAACAAGCTCGCTCGTGTACATCAGCTAATCAAACAAACAGGTGGTACGCAAATCGGATCTACCGAATTTTCCTTTCTCTTCACTCCTTAACCTTCCCCCTACCCCCTCCCCCCCTCCCCCCCTCCCCCTCTCCCTTCTTGGTCCATTGCTAACAGCCAAAAATGCTGTGATCTTTTGGTCGCCACTCCTGGTCGTCTCGTGGACTTGATTGAACGTGGTCGCATCTCCCTGTGCAACATCAAGTATCTGGTTCTCGATGAGGCTGATCGTATGTTGGACATGGGTTTCGAGCCTCAAATCCGCCGTATTGTGGAGGGTGAAGATATGCCAGGTGTCCAAAACCGTCAAACACTTATGTTCTCTGCCACCTTCCCCCGCGATATCCAGATGTTGGCCCGTGATTTCCTGAAGGACTACGTCTTCTTGTCTGTTGGACGTGTTGGTTCTACTTCTGAGAACATCACACAAAAAGTCGAGTACGTTGAGGATCCGGATAAGCGATCTGTCTTGCTCGACATTCTCCACACCCATGGTGCTGGACTTACCTTAATCTTCGTTGAGACAAAGCGTATGGCCGACTCGCTCTCCGACTTCTTGATCAATCAGAACTTCCCAGCAACCTCGATTCACGGTGACCGTACTCAACGTGAGCGTGAGCGTGCACTGGAGATGTGAGTACTGCCAAATGTTCTGTTTTCAAAAAGCAATGAGATTGAATGACACGCATTTGCTGACACCCTAATCAAGGTTCCGTAACGGCCGCTGCCCAATCTTGGTTGCTACCGCTGTCGCTGCTCGTGTAAGTCTCACCAACTCAGCTCTTTCGTCTTGATACATTGGCAACCAGTTACCTTTCTCGTCTTAGGGATGCCCAGAAGCTCCGCGTTTGGAAAATTTTTGAATTTCCATTTACTTGCTTGTAACCAATGCATCTACTGACATTATTCAGGGTCTGGATATCCCTAACGTGACCCATGTCGTCAACTACGATCTTCCTACTGACATCGATGACTATGTCCATCGTATTGGTGTACGTTCCACCCCATCCACATCCCTCGAATCATAGACTGACAACCACGCAGCGTACTGGACGTGCCGGAAATACAGGAATCTCTACCGCTTTCTTCAACCGTGGTAATCGTGGTGTCGTTCGTGACCTGATTGAGCTTCTCAAGGAGGCCAACCAGGAAGTCCCCGCTTTCCTCGAGAACATTGCTCGTGAGAGCTCGTTTGGTGGCGGCGGTGGCCGTGGCGGACGCTCCGGAGGTGGACGTGGTCGTGGCGGCGGAGCCAACCGCGATTTCCGCAAATTTGGTGGTGGAGGTGGCGGTCCATCTTACGGCGGTGGTGGTGGATACGGCGGTAATTCTTCGTACGGGGGTGGTGGAGGCGGTTCTGGCTATGGTGGTCCTCCCCCAGCTCCTTACGGTGGAGGTGGTAATCCTGCTTACAATGGTGGTGGAGGTGGTGGATCAGGCGGATACGGTGGCGGCTCCTACGGAAACCCATCCGGAGGTGGCGGCGGCCAATCCTGGTGGTAAACGCCCCCGGACGATGCCCATTCCTCTCTTTGATCTTTGCTCCGCATAGGCCTGGGAATAGGGCGTCTTGGAGCATCGGCTCTTGCTGATGTTCGGTGTGGTTCACATCATCTGCGCGACTGCGACAAATACTTCTTTCTACGACATTGCTTTTGCGACAACTGATTTTCTGGTGGCGGCAAGGTACATTGTGGAAGCTGACTCCTGTCCCTTGGTACAAATGGAGTTGGCTTTACATTGTGCTTTCGGCCATCGAACGACATACGGATAGATCGCGTTGTCTTCTTGTCTTCACGTCTCGAGATACCCCATAGACAGGAGACCGTACGACGCATAAGCGCGGCGTACCGGGTTCAACGAGTGCTTTTTCTCTGGCACTGGATGGGTCAACAGAACGGGCACATAAACGAACCGGGTGTTCCGCCGAAACGGAATCTCTTCTGCTTCTCAATAATTCTTTCGAGGGTCGGCGGACAAGATCTGACACACAGAAGATCGTGCATATTTTCTTTTCTCCCCTGCGACATAAGTTTGCTTCGGCGTTGCCTCTCAACATAGACAAAAGCGGTTGAATGGATGAATGGATGGATGGATAGATCTTTCTGGGCTGCGGTTCTATCATAAAAGATGATGGATGGTCATCTCGGAACGCTTTAATATGGGGGCGATGTGTCTCCTATCCCGAATCTGTACCTGTGGCTCTCTTTTCCTTTTCTTTTCATCACACGTGTGGCTACTGCACCAAATCTTTCAGCGGGCAGGTATTATCTCCGGTAGTCTTCATACTCACTCGAGGCTCTTGACTGGGAGCGCAAGGAAGCCTGAGAAGGCGAGGGAAACATGGGTGAGCCGATGGTCTACGGAAGTGCTCCTGTCCATTCGAGCGAGGGCACATACATGCATGGAAGCGCTGCACGCTTTCAAAAGACGTGATGGGAATATCGGGACGATGATTCTTCTAATACAAGTCCGTTCAACTCGTGATGGGATTTCCGATATGCCCTGTGTGACTTGGAGTGATCTCGCGTGATTTTGATATACATAACCATTTCATCCTCTCTGGACCCAACAGCCAGCGGACCAAGGTAAGCAACAAGACAACGAGTAACGAGGATGAAGCGCTGGATGATCAGTGGTGGAACATGTATTTCGCGGATGTGGAAGGGGGAGTGGGGCGGATTTCTCGGATAGATTGAATTGGAGGAGCGGCGTGGTTGCGTCCGCTCGCTAAGCTTATTTATTTATTTACCCGCCCCTCTGGTGTTGTGCCTCCCACGATTGGGTTTCGGTTCCGATTCGCGTTTCTTTTTCTTTTTGGGCTGAGATTCTTTCGGGTCGGAGAGAGATGGAGGGAGAGTGGCTTGCCAGGGGGTTTGCTTTAGGTGTGGATAGATAGTACCGTAGGTACCTAGGGAGGTACATCGTTTTGGTCGTCGGGTTTTGATTTGGGGTTTTTATTTTTGATATTGATTCTGGTTTCGATTTTGGTTTTGTAGAGAGACGGGAGAGCTCTTCTCCCCCTTGCAATATTTTGTGGACCACGACCTCCGTGTCAGGACGGAGGAATATATCCATGGTCAGCATCCGAGATCAGGACGGAGTAATATATCCATGGTCAGCATCCCGAAATCACAGTGGCATCAGGCCGGTGATCTATGACTGGATTGGTCGTGTGTCTCGCGTCAAGTGAATTGGTATGGATCGTGTCGCCAGCCATAGCCATATAAGAAATTGGATTGCCCTCCAGATTCCAAAAATGCAGGCCACACCGACCAACTCATTGTCACAACACCTTATTATCCCTTCAACACCATGAAGTCCTCTCTGGCTGTATTCGCTGGTACATTCCTGGCAGCGGCAGTCCGGGCGCAGAACGCAGCTTACCAGCAATGCGGCGGCTCTTCCTGGACCGGAACTACGGCATGCGTATCCGGATTCTACTGTCTCTATCAAAGCCAATGGTACTCTCAGTGTGTTCCTGGTACGGCGAGCACGACAGCAGTCGCCATACCTTCCTCCACGCTCAAGACCAGCACCACTTCAAAGTCCGTCGTCTCCAGCACGAAGTCTAGCACAGCTCCATCTTCGACCAGCAGCGGGAAGTTCAAGTTCTTCGGGATCAACGAATCCGGTGCTGAATTCGGCCAGGGCGCCTATCCCGGAACCTGGGGAAAGGACTTCATCTTCCCCTCTAACTCTGCTATCGATGTACCTTCTCCCTCTCACCCACCCCCGTTGAGAGAAGGATCATGCTGATAGCTGGTACCAGATTTTGATCAGCGAAGGCTATAACACGTTTCGCGTAGCGTTCGCTATGGAGCGCCTCGCGCCCTCTGGAATCACGGCTGCTTTCTCCGCGGCGTACTTCGCAAACCTGACGGCGACCATTCAACACATCACGGACAAGGGCGCCTATGCCGTTCTCGACCCGCACAACTTCGGCCGCTATAATGGGGCCATCATCAGTGATGTTGCTGGCTTCAAGACGTTCTGGACCACCCTCGCTACCCCGTTCAAGGCTAACGCGAAAGTCGTAAGTCATCAGCCATCAGCGGCAATCACCTGGCCTTTTCTTTCTTTTCTTTTCCTTCTTCTCCCTCTGCCCCCTCCTCTCCCCCCCCTTCGCCCTCCTCAGCAGCAAGCAAGCCTTGATATCTACTGAACCAAGCCGCCGCCCCCTTAGGTCTTCGACACCAACAACGAGTACCATGACATGGACCAGACTCTCGTCCTGAACCTCAATCAGGCCGCCATCGACGGTATCCGCGCCACGGGCGCCACCTCGCAGTACATCTTCGTCGAGGGCAACTCCTACTCGGGCGCCTGGACCTGGGCCGCGGTGAACGACAACCTCAAGGCCCTCCGCGACCCGCAGGACCGGCTCGTCTACGAGATGCACCAGTACCTCGACTCGGACGGCTCCGGCACCAGCGACGCCTGCGTGTCGGGCACCATCGGCCTCGAGCGCGTCACGAGCGCGACGGCCTGGCTGCGGGCGAACGGGAAGCGCGGCATCATCGGCGAGTTTGCGGGCGGCGCGAATGCACAGTGTATGAGTGCCGTGAAGGGCTTGTTGGAGCATCTGAAGGCGAACAGCGACGTGTGGACGGGGGCGCTGTGGTGGGGGGGTGGACCGGTACGTTTGCCGATGGATTCTCTTCCTCTTGCTATCCTTTTCATCTCTCTTTTTCCTTCCCTCCCTCTGTTTTTCGTTTCCTTTTCCCTATGCTTGTTTCAGTCGACTGACTGATACGCGCGCGCAGTGGTGGGGGACCTACATCTTCGGCTTCGAGCCCCCGAGCAGCACGGGCTACAACTACTACGGCCGCACGCTCAAGACGTACGCGCCTGGCCTCTGATACATTCTGAAAGCAGAACTGTTGCAATCATTCTCGATGTACATGGCTCGCTGGATCACTCACTGGGGCAGCTGTTGTCATTTGTTATCATGTATGTAGATAAGAGGCGACAGGCAGTGGCGGACCGTACGTACAGCTCGGTAGCAGGCAGTAGTAGCCGGGTGCCATCAGTCCACAATCGATACATCTTTCTTCTGTACGACTTCCTTCGTTCCCCGCGACTTCTTGAACCAGATGGATAAATGCATGGATGAATTTAATCAATAAAGCTAAAAGAGAAAGCTATGAATGAAAGGGGAGGGGGAAGAAAAGCAGTATTCGGATCTCGTAAAGCTAATCCTCGCTTCGCTTAGTGTTAGCCTCTTCTTACCTTTGCGGATATATCAGATATAAGATTTACCCTTCCTCTTGTACCGGAATCAGCCTCTTAGCCTGCTCCCCTGCTATGCGTAGTACTACGTATATCTCTTGCTACTAGCTTCGCTCTCTTCTACTTGCCATGATCAGTACCTGCTAGATCCTTGATTCGATCACTTCACTTCATTTCACTTCAAAACCACGTGATCTTTCAGGTGCTGCTCGCCTCCTTCTCTCTCTCTCGTCCTTCGGCACATGGTTACCCCGGCGGTCCTTTTCACGTTTTGGTTTTCTGGATTGCATGTCGATTCTCAAGCGAGAGTGGGAGTTTCCCGAAACTTAATTCGCTCAGCAAGGTTTTATATATATATACGTAGTATATGTGCGTGTATATTCTAAAATATATTAAAGATATCCTTGATGGTAAATGGAATGATAAAGGGTAGACTTTGTGCTTCTGCTTGTCGAGTTCCTCGTCTCACTCACTGCCTTCGTTGCTGCTGCTCTTGAATCGGGTATTGGTATTCTGTTGGTGAAACCGACTTTCTACTAGGAGCGGGGTTTCATGCTATGATGATAGAGTTACAAGATTAGAGAGAGTGTTGCGATGATGGTATTCGATAAGTGGCAGCAGACTTCGGACATGGCGTTCCCCGCGCGGCATGAGCTTCGCTTTCGTTTTTTTTTTTCAGCATCGCTGTCTATCGACATGTGTATATAACCGCAGACGGAGATTCTGCTCCAAACTCTGCTATCTATCTCGTGACATTCCAATTACTGAATTCCAACTCACTGTAGGAGGCGGGCGATACTGGTGAGAGAAGTCAGAGAAGATGGAGCAGGAAGTGATTCTCGCGAAGAGAGTACGGTGCTTGGTATATGAGTGATTGGCTTCTTTTGATTCGAATCAAATTCTAATCTCGTAATCATTTTGTTTATGAGAAGTAGATGTGGATTCAGTATCATTGTAATTATTATTATTATCGTATTCATTAACGTCGGGCGGGGAGCAAGCGGAGCCTCCCGCCCTAGGACCTCTTACAGAGTACGGCGACGTGCGAAGCTAAGGAGTTACATGCAAAAAGGCCTGAGAAGCAGTTTACAGCGGTAAAGCGAGAACTGCTATCAATTGCGCCTTCCCTTTACAGATAGGATGAATCATAATGAAAAAAAAATCCTCTCGTCAAGGAAAAATAGAGGAGCAAGGCAGATATTGCCGTGGTCAGCTTGAAAGCGCAGCCGTATTATAATCGCAAAACGACGATTGTCGGACCTGGATTGGAATCAGCCGTGGGTGCATACGGTAATATACAAGAAAGAAATAACGTCGTAAAAGGAATCATGTCTAAAGCTCCATAGACGAACGCCGTCGTCCTAGTTGGCTTTATCCTTCGCACTGATAAGCAAGAAAGAGAATAGTTGAGGATAAAATCTACTAAACGCTTTCCTATGAATACGAGGCATTGGCAGCTAGCCAGCTGGCATATGCCTGCGATTCTCATTCCGTGCCCGCGGGGTTGGATACAAGAGGGTTTGCCGGTTGGGCTGGAGATAGATATTCGAGATCAAGTTTTATACAAAGAGCAGAAGCCACTACGTATTAGAGGTTTGCGTATCTCGTATTGAAAAGGGTTTTGATTAGTGCGAGGAAAGAGGGGCACTGAATCTTGAAGCTTTAATAACGCTGAAGAAGGAGAGGCTAATATCTGACTTCCTGATGGCAAGTACCGGTAAATACCACGGTACAGGCCGAAGTATTACCCCTCGAGGGTGCCTCGAAAGTCTAGTTTCCACTTTAGACCCCCTGGTTACCCTACCCTCGAGGGGTAATACTTACGCCTGGGACGGAGTAAACAAAGACATCACCGGTTGGGCGTGGACATTGGGCCGTTATTATAGTTAATTAATCACCTGAGAGCATTACTCGCGTTACAAGTCTGTTTATGTAAAATATGCGTTGATTACGCTTTATTAGAATGGATGCTGGCCGTTCCTTATTGTTAATTAATCACCTGCGAGCATTACTCGCGTGACAAGTCTGTTTATGTAAAATGTGCGTTGACTGCGCTTCATGAGAGTGGATGCTGGCCGTTCCGTATTACCCTCCTTCCCTATTGAATACATATCGAAAGTATATTTTCACGAAGGGTTTAGCAAGGGCTTTGCAAAGGGACTTGACGGGGGGTTTGCAAGGGGGGAGGATGCCAGTGAACCCCAGGCGGTCAGCGAACAGGATCGGGCCTAGAAACCGTTAGAATACGACCCGTAACCTTAAAAGGCTTTTAAGCTGCAGAATTACTATATTTGCATCCCGAGCAATTACGCCGCCGCGACGATAAAAAATTCAAGACCTTTTTAATTACGAACTCTAAAGGCTATCGCGCTACACGTACTACGATGAAGTAGTACCTACAATACTTGATTTGCAAGCGTCGGCCTCCTTAGCTTCAACGCTAGTTCCAACTTCTCAAGCTTTTACGCAATCGTAAGATTTTCGAGATGGCTCTCGACCTTGTCTGCTAACGCTTTGCGATCAGCTTCGCTCTTTTCCAATTCGATGGCTTCGCACGCTAAGTGTACGAAGACCTGAATTACTCACGACGCGCTCCGATCGCATTCGGATTAACACAGCTCTATTTTTCGGATTTGAATCGAAGGAGATCCAAGGAGAAGTTGAGGTAGACGAATAAACAAATCCGCTTTGCGAAAGCCTCTCTAGCGACCCTCCGGCTGTAAGTTTATCGATGCGGGCGAAGTTTATCGATGCGGGCGTAACCTTGCTTTGGATACGCTAGAACGATAACGCGTCGGGTAATACCCACGGTGCAGGCATAAGTAAGGTACGTAGTAGTAGGTATTAGCTTTTCGGATCCTTTTTACGCCGCCGAATTGCTTGGCGCTATATACTACTGTAAAAATCCCTTTCTTTCGAGCTTCGGAACTGTGCCGTACCCCGCTCCCTTCTCCCCCCCCCACATTAATAAATGTAATACTGGGTATTTTATAGGCCGATTCCAAGGGGTACGGCAGGGGAAATTGTGGAGTCCAATTGGAATAAAGAAAATATCAGTCGATTAAGAGTCTATCTAGTGTGGAGCTGGCCCTCCCTGAGCATCGATTACAGCTTCATAACGCTTCTATTGCGATTCGTATATCGATTCGATATACTACGTAGCTATGGAGAAGCGTCTCAAGCCTTCGATATTATTTCTCGGAGTCTCCCCAAAGAGATCGATTGATCGTAATAAACAGATGGAAAATATCTCTTCCAAATAAAGCAGTTTCCTTCGAACGTGTACGTCGTTTTTTTCCGGTGTCTAAGGAGCAAAAGTGGTAGAAAAGTTCCCTTTGCAAAAGTATAAGTGGATTCATTAATTGACTAGGTATTACCCATTATAATGAGCAATAGATCGCGAACGAGTTGAACACAGAAGAATTCTACGCAAAAAAAAAAAGAGTCTAAGCCGTACAAAAAGATGAAATGAGTAAGGTTAAGTGGCCTCTACTCCAATTGGCTCACAACCCTGGTATACTCAAACTATGACCCCCCTGCTGGACCCCTGGGCATCGGCCCAGAAGAGACGTACCGTACGTACCGTACGTACCGTACGTACTACGTACGTAGTAGAAACCCGATAAAATGACCCGCGGAGCTGATCATAAGGTCTAATCTTTGCTTAGTAAGTGATCAGTGCGGTCTGACTGCGCAGAAAGAAGCCTAATAAGCGATCTCCAAAGTATGCTAGAGCCTCAATCAATACTACGTATATATATATATATATATATATATATATATATATATATA